TATTTCCTGTGGATTAAAAATCAGATGGGCTCCCTCAGAGGAGGTCTTAGGTCCCGGCCTCCCTGGACGGCTGGGAAACTGACCCCCATCTGACTCCGTGGTCCTCCCTGCTCCCTACCAGCGTATCGCCCTGGGACACTAGCAGAGCCTGGATGGACGGAATACATTCACCTGTTTTAAACAAATAAAAAGTTTTAATTAATACCTGATAACAGGAAAGCATTTTTTATTTGGTATGATTTTATTTTATTTTATATTTTGTTATTTTCAGATTAGTCAGACTTCAGAATCATGAAAACATTTTATTGATTCAAAATCAAATAAAACTTACTTTTACTTTTATTATAAATAAAACCCAGGTGTGTCTCAACAGTGAAAATAAGTCCAAGTTGAAGAGAATAAAATATTTTAATGAAAGAAACTAATAATGTCCTCCGATGAGGCCTCAGGGACAAATGTATAATGAACATGTGACGCCTCCTCCTTTGTGTTAAATATTAAATCAATATTATTATATTAGAATTATTTGTCAGTATAAAATTAAATATATTTTTTTTGCCAGAATTAAAAAATCTCCATTGGCATTTCATATTTTATAATTAAACCCTGAACTCTGACAATGGCAGTGGAAAAGTTTTAATTTAACAACCTGAATTTACCTTTTAAATGGTTTCGGACCATATGTAATAACAACATTCCCTGAAACAATCAGCACAATCACCCTATCTCACAGCCATCACCATCACTCTTTTAGTTTCCTCAGATAGGTGCAGTGATTCCAGGAAGTGTACTGATGAGAGGTCTTCCACGCGGAATCAGTATAAATGATTAAGAATATATGCAAATTAATCGTGAGGTTTTTGTATCATTGAAAAGCTTTAAACCTATCCTGTTCCTGCCTGATTAAAGGGATAATGTGTAGTTTTTACCATTTATCTCTGGAAATATTCATCAAAATGTTGAAAATAAATCAAATGATGCCCAGTTGGTGAAAAATATTGGCGGCTTTGTAACTTTTAACCATGAAAATTGGGTCTAAAATACATGTGAATGGGTCTAAGGCCCACTCCCAATACTCGCCCTGCGCCCTACGGTCTTCAGCAAAGTACACTTGGACTTGGAGGAAGTGTGCAGTAAGGCTTTGAGTGTGTAGTACTCAAGTGTTCAAATAATAACCAAATCGAGACCGTTGCGTCATTGACCACGATGCATGCCATGATGCCAGTCGCTGTTTGGGCTACTTAAAAAAAATCTTTATTAACAACTTTAAAACAAACAATTGACAAAATGTACATTAATTGTTGTCCACATTAAATCTTAGTCTAAAACATTCAGAGCATGAATAAATTAATCATCTTAAAACGAACTTTCATTTGAAAATGCATACAGTATTTTTGGAAAAGGCAATTGAGCTATTGTACCATCATCCTCCTCTCAAAAGTCCCACGCAGCAATGGATTGTGGGTAATACCCTTCCCCAAAGTCTGCATCGATGCAGACTTGGGCGAAGTGCGGTTCAAGGGTTAAAAAGGGCGTGGCCAACTTCCACACTTAAGGATCGGGACTCCCTACGCACTTGCACTCCTGGACTGGAACGCGCAATTGAAGGGAGTGAGGGAGGAAGTGTGAGTATTGGAATTGGGTCCAAATCTTTGGGCAACACTATGGGTGTTTCTCAATGCCAAGGAACCTTGCCTTGATGTCTTGGCCCTGCCCCGGTTGCCTAGGAGATATGTCATCGGGAGCCGCCAAGACGTGTTCCAATCGGTTCCAATGCTCATGTTCTACCAAGGCATGTGTTCTCCGTTTGTTAGCCGTTTAGCTAGCTGACTGAGGATACATAGGAGGTGTCTTGTAGCCTAGCCTTGGTCAAAAATTACCCAGAATATACCGCAATATTTTCAAAAGGATGGTGGATCAGAAGCCGGCAGCTACTTCGGGGACAATGTTCAAGTTTAAAAGTAAGTCAACTAATTTAAAATGTTTTTTTATATACCAATTTTGGCTGGTGTCAGAGTCAGCTGAGGTAAATAATGGAATGTTTTTTTATATACCAATATTGGCTGGTGTCAGAGTCAGCTGAGGTAAATAATGGCCGGTCTCTTATTGTGGCCGGGTGAAACGTGGTCACAAACAAGTACGAGCGTCCCAGCGGCAGGGTTATAGTCCCCAAATCAACAAGCAGGAGGCAGTAGAGGTTCACGCAGTCCTTTGTTGGGCTTTTTCTTCAATGCTTAGTAACACTACAGACAGATCCTCTATCACGCTCCTACCACACAGAGTCACGGTGTCAGTTAACCATGCTAATTCAACCGCTCCACAGAACACACATCACCTTCCCTGTGGCTTACATAACACCCACACAACACGCAAATCAGCACATAGGAACTAGCAGAACGATAGGAAACACATATAACACAATACCCAGAATGCACCTGGCTTACAACCCCAGCCAGGTCATTAAGTTCAAAGAGAACGTGATGATCATGCTGCAGAACACTCTGGAGAGCAGCAGTAGGGGGTGTATGAACTAGTCAACTTCACTATACAGTAATCCCTCGCTATTTCGCGGTTCGTTCATCGCGGATTCGCTGCTTCGCAGATTTTTTCTTTGGAGCATTTTTCAGGGGGAATTCGCAGATTAGCGGTATTTTTCACTGATTCGCGGTATTTTTCTATGCGAAATATCAACTAAATCTTGTTTTTTTTTTTCATCAATTTAATCATAAAATGCACTTTTTGTAATAAAACTAAAAAACAAGTAAAAAAAATTTTTTTCTTGAGTTTTACCCACAAAAAGAGAATGTGATCATACGTTAATTCAATAGGGAGCGTGGTTTCACAGACGCGGAAGTGATAGCGTTGGTGCTCTAGGAAACCCCCGAGCGTTCGAGCGTCAACGAAGTGACACGGAAATGCCGGGCTTTCCAGAAGTAAGTAAGATAACTTACTATGAGCTGATAGTTCGTTGGATTAATCGGTAGGTTGGAAACTCTGATCATGAATCTGAAGAAACGATGACTGAGTGGTGAGCTGGAAATGCGACTTCCGTTTATAGCCGCGGTTTGTGACGTAGGTGCAACGTGGAGGGAATCCCCGCGAGGGGCATGCTGGGAGTCCCTACTTCGCGGATTTTCACCTATCGCGGCCAGGTCTGGAACACATCTACCGCGATAATTGAGGGATTACTGTAGTGACTTTTTATGCCTGTCGTCGCGCTGTGCCAGACCGTAGGTACTGACACGCGATCGTTGATGTCAGTTCATTTCCTTTAATGTTTTCTGTCTTTTATTTGCGCCTGATGCGTTTTGCTGCATGCTGTGGAGCGGGGCGCTGCACGCATCACCTTGTCCTCCGACGCACTGATCACTGATACGGCCGCCAAACAGCGAGCACTCCGCTGTTTTTGCGGTCGGTAGATCTTTTAGAACTGCAGTTCAAAGGTAACTCATAAGGTGAATATATATGAACCCAGGTAGCAGTTTCTCTTTAGGATTGAGAGGAGATGCAGGAAGATAATAAACAGACAGGACAGAAAAATAGTCAAATAAAAACAAGTTAGTTTTTGTACCTGCTGTTGCAACAAACAGACATTGAAGGTCATCAGAAGTGAGGAACAGAAAATGAAATAATTATTTTAATGTTTAGAGCAGCAGGAACTCCGAGAGGCTGCAGGTGCATCAGTGAGTTTGCAGCGCTGCGCAGGGGGAGGGGGGAGAGGGCTGAAGCAGGGGGAGGGGGGAGATGGCTGAAGCAGAAACTACTGTTGTTAAAAGAAATGTGTTTAACTTTGAAAATGTGGGCGCAATTTTAATTGTCAAAAACTCCAGCGAACCATTAGTTCATTTTGCTCAAATAGAAATAGAGGCCTGCCTCTAATATTGGCCCTCCTTCCAATAAAGGCCTGGAGCTTGATGAGCTTGAGTCAAATACAGGCCCGGGCCTGTATTAGAGGATTTACGGTATATATCCAAAGAAGTTATCTATTGTTGGTTAGTTGCTCAGTAGTAGTAGCTTTTGGTGGCTAGCGGGTAGTAACTCGCTTATATTTTTAATTTAATAAAGATATACACAATTTAAAAAGTAAAAGGCAACTTATATATTTATATTGAAATGAATACATATAAAATATGAAGTTATCTCCCATGTCACGTGACATTACGTGACCGCCGTGGAAGCCGCTGTCACATGATGCAAGTCTGTTCCATTTAACCGTTTTCTTTGACCAAGGAAGGAGTGTCCTTGCAAGCAAGGTGCCTTGACATTGAGAAACACCCTGTTTCCTGCTATGGAAGTCCATGAGGACAAAAGGCATTTACTGATTTGTAACAAATGGTTACAAAACTTTCACCATTCATAAACGTTTTAAACACATTTACCTTTTTGCTGGTTGTCAGTAATTAAAGGGAGTCTGATGTTCTTGTCATTTTGCTGGAGGTTGTGCTTCCAGGGATTTTTGACCCTAATGGCCATCCGTCTGTAAGGTCTTACTCCAACACAAAAATTCTGCTTGGTTGCTATGATTTAGTTATGTACTGCCCCCTATCGCCAGGAAAAATACACATAGTCACTTTAAGATAGCTTCAACATGACTTTGGATGATCAGAAAGCTACAGAATCCGTTACAACAAACAAAAAAATGATTACAACCACCATTTATTTGTATATTAAATGTTTTAAAAGAAGTATCTGAAACAATCCTAGATGATCTGACATCACCTGTACTAGGTCTATTAAAGATAATTTACTAAATCCTGACTCATCCACAAAGCTTTTAGTTCTAGAAGTTGTTTTCTGCTGATCTTGCTCACTGATGCCTCAATAACGCGTCTCAGGGGTTCAGATGTGAGTTGGCAGCAGCTTTTCCTCCCATGTCTCTCAGAGCAGCTCTATGAAGGTTTCTATTATTAGCTTAATCCATAATAATAATTATTTTATACCATCCTTGTTATGTATGAAAACATAAAAACATTTGTACAATTTCAAAAACAAAAACATGACGTTTTTCAAAGTCGTTATTTTAATTATCGGAGTGTATACAGACATCTTGTAGAATCAATTATAGCAACTCTTTAGAAAGCAATTTACAATTCTTGTTTTCTCATAAGAAAGTTAGGCTGTTGAAAAGTCCAAATGCAGCAGAACCACCCTCCATGTGATTCGTCCATCGTTCCCAATTTAAATCCAACTCAAATCACCAGCATCTTCTGCTGAATAAAACAAAAACCCAGTGGCTGGTCACACAGCGCCACCTGGTGGAGGCTGAATGGAGGAAGAAGAGAACCAAAAACCAACAGCAAAAGCATTTTTTTTTTTAGTACACATCCTTTTATGGCCAAACAAAGACAAAAAACCACAAAAAAAAATCTAATTTTCCTCCTTCCAAATCTTGTGCGGTTATAATCAAAGGAAAAATAAAAAATAAGATTCGGATATTTAACCATGTTTCACAAATACTTCCACCTATATGAACACTGACAGGAACACAGAATAGAAAGGGGTGCTTTGCAAAAAACCTCAAATCTGAAATGATTTATGCTGTTAATAACTCCATCCTGGCACTTACGTTGCACTCAGCTTTATTTTACGTTTATTTGCAGCAGCCCATCAGACAAAGGCAACACACAACACAAGAACTCTTCCTAAAACACTACTACTCAAGTGTCCTACACACCAACGTATCTTTACCTTTCCACTTTACAGTACGACAGATGCTCCAAACCAATACCAAAACGTACAACACACAGGTAAATGTAGTGTGATGCAAGAGGAGAGCTGTTATCGTTACATGCATTAACCCGTATTATCGGACTTCTCCAGAAGCCGCTGGAACTGAGGTGCAGTCAAGTGTCATAAAATTATCTAAAATTTAAACTGCTGATTCTGTATTATGTGGCACTGTTACATTTAAAAAGGACTGCAGAATGAACACCAGCTGCATGATATTAATTAGAAATTAAAAACAATATGGTAAACATGAAAACATAATGCTAACAGAGTTCCCAGCTTTGTGAATCTTGCTTTTCTCCTCTAAAAAATGACCAGTGAACAACTTTCTCTCTCCTTGCAGGCAGAAAAAAGAGGGATGAGAAAAGGGAGGAGAGGAGGTAAACATCCCATCCTTTAACTGGACTCCAGCTTGGCCATTTCCTGCACGTAGATCCCGATGCTCTCGCTGTCAAACAGCACAAAGTAGACGGTCTTGATGGTGGAAGACATGGTGGCAACAAAGTAGCTGGAGATGGCCTTCAGGATCAGCTGAGCCGCCGTCTGCTTCGGGAAACCGTTCCTTAAAGCACAGAACACACACATTTAATTCTACCTCGTTTTTTTTTTTTTGACTCATTTTGTTTTTCTCTCTAATTTGTGTGAAAAACGCATTTTGGGGTTTTCATGTTTTTTTTGTTTTTTTTACCTCCCACTGCCGATGGAGGGGAAGGCCACAGACTTGAGTTTCTTCTCATCTGCCAGAGCCAAACAGTTCTTCACCGTCTTCTCCAGCATCTCCTCACACTTATCAGAACCCCAACCCGGACTGTTGCAGTGGATCACGTACTTGGCAGGCAGACCGAAACCACCGGTCAAAACGGCTAAAAGGAAGAAGAGAAGTAATGAAGATCAGGAGTTCAAATCAGCCTCCTCCTGTCAGAAGTCTGGACCCAGAGGTGATAAATGAGCACTTCTCTTTGTGGAACAAGTAGGGAGGAAATCTCCAGCAGCTTAAACTGGTCTGATCAGAAGGTTACTGGGAGTGAAGTCACTTCTCCAGGGAGAGGACTTGCGCATTTAGACCCAGCAGCTGTGAAAAGCGTCACTGGGCCAAAGCCTCCTGCGTTCGTTAGTCCTCAGAACTTGTGTGAATGGACTGAAGTCAAAGCTGATGGAGACGCTTCAAACAGCAGAACCAGAGCCACCGCCTGTGTGATGATGATGATGATGATGGTGGTGGGTTTTGTGACTGATCCGTTTCATGGTTGAGGTGGGTGAAACAGTACGTGTATCCAGGCACCGCACATCTGGACCATCAAAATCAGAGGACAGAAGGTTTTGTGTTGTTGCCATCAGAGATGCTGGTTTTGATCCGATTTGTGTCAAAGTAAAACGATGACATCATAACCGTGCATTTTCTGATGAAGGTCAGCTTACTCGTGTAGCGTAGATCAAGGCCCGAGTTTTCATCAAAATGACCGGAGGTTAATTTCTTCATAAAGGTCAGGCCAATCTGACACCAGAGGTGTCGATATGAGGATCTATGAACTTGAACAGTATCCTTAACCTGTCCATAAGAAGCTTTATCAAATCATTTTAATAAAGTTATCTTTTCTGGCTCATAAAATAATTTTCTAACTTTACAAGTTACTACAATCATATACTGTGGTGCCTACAATATGCTTTTAAATCTAAAGTGTTTTAATAATGTTAATCAATATATTCACATATTAATTAGGGGTGGGACTTTAGCGCGTTAATTATGATTAATTAAATAGAAAAAGTGACACGTTAAAAAATTTATGTATTTAATCACAGCTCGCAAGGCGGAACCTTTTGTCATTGCATGATTTCCTCATAGACCGAATCTCAGTGACGCACACAACAATGCACATTGATCTGTTACCGGGTACTTAAACGGAATAATGTAAAGAAATTGCCTTGTTTGGACTGTTGCAGTATTTGGAAAACACGTCAGACTCTTCTCTTAACTTGTAAAGAAAAAAAAAAAAACCTTCCTGAAAACTACAGAGTCTGTGTCGCGGACGTTTTTCATCGATCGTCTCTGATCTCTGCTGCTGCCCAGTCAAGGGCGTCAGTTTGTTTTCAGAATTGCTGGGGACAATAACCATACACTTGAGTGGGGTTTAAAAATTGCTGGGGACAATAAAGTAGGCTAGCACAGGGGTCGGCACCCCGCGGCTCTGGAGCCGCATGCAGCTCCTCCATCCATCTGATGCGGCTCTCTGTGCTTGTGAAATAATGAATGGATATTTAAATAAAAAGCTTTATATTTTACTGCATTAATTTTACATCTGTAAGCTAATTCTAAATGTAAAGATTGTCTGCGTAAACCTGAACAGTTCCAACCCGGTCTTACTGTGAGACCGGGTTGACGCGTCACGCTTGTGCGTAATCATATAGGCGCTTCTGAGCTGCTTTCTGACCTTCCCCACCTACAAAGTTTAATTACAACAATCAAACGTGACAGAGCCTGGATTTGTATTCTGAACAGTCTAAACATGTTTTAAAAAGAAACGTATGACAAAAGTGGCACCTGCTCAGTAAAACCACCAACAGGGTGAAAAATACCAAAAATTGAAGGCAGAGACGGGCTACAACTTCTGGATCCATTTTATATAAATCGTTTTATTGATTATCGTCTAATGAAAGATAATTAAGACGTACACGAGCGACCAGGCGCGTTGCATGCTTTTCAAAAGTGTGGGGGATGTTGTCTGTGCCTAAAATAAGTTCATGTTATTCATCTTGTTAGTTTAATTTCCATAATAGCGGAGCAGGTGCGAATTTTAGACGCGTCACGCATGTCTCCGTTTTAAACATGTTTAAACTGTTCAGAATACAAATCCAGGCTCTGTCTCGTTAGATGGGTGTAACTAAAGTTTGTACTGAATGAAACTTTACATTAAACCATGTTGAAAAGTAAAGGATCCGATTAAATAGTTTCCCCCTCATTTACAGTCAGTACAGTGCAGTGCGCGTGGCTCTGGGGTTAATCATTAATATGTTACTGGACACGCTGGTCTGGTTGGTTAGACCAGTGTTTGAAGTGGAAAACACACACACACACACACACACACACACACACACACACACACACACACACACACACACACACACACACACACACACACACACACACACACACACCAATTAAAATCATGCTGATAGCGTGGACTAGAAGACAGGTGATGGTTTACGTATTTAAATGATGATCAGGCTGCTGTAAAATGTAATCTCCATCCACATCCAGACACAATCATCCTCTATTTTTTCTCTAGTTGCTCTGCTCTTGTCTGGGCTGACGTAGCTAATGGTACGCGCGACACGCCTAACTAGCGGCTGATGCACATTTTACGCATTTGGAGAGGTGGACTGGATGCTTTGCTTTTACTGGAAGATGGTCCACTTAACGCACGGTTGTAGACTACATATTAATGACAAATGAATGAAAATTAAATTGGGAGTTTTTACTTCATATTTTAGAAATAAAAATGACGGGGGAAAACATTTATGATGTCTTTTTAAACGACATTTTCTAGCGCGACCTGCCTGCTTCACTTAAGTCACTGCTTATTAAGGTCCGTCCAAAATTACCGTGGCCCACCCAAAAATGAAAACCTGGCGCCGCGCCAGTTATAAACCTCTGCAAATTGTTGTTCTTAACTTTATCAAACTCAGACTTTGTACAGCTAATGTCAAGATGTAAAATTATGAATTCAGTCGAGCTCTTCCGTCCCTCCCTCTCCTGCTCTCCTGGAAACCCGACATCGGCTGGGAGGTGAAGAAGGAGATGAGGCAAACAGAGTGAGTGCTACGTAAAGAAACCAGACTGGTGTGGAGGTGAGCAAAACAGCTGGAAAAGTGTGGGTGTTGTCCCCCACGGGTGCGATGCCCCCGGCTGCTGTCACCTGTTGTGAGCAGCGCTCTGCTGTCTGAGGGTAGGCCCCGCCCGCAACGCTGCGGCTGCTGCGGTGTTTTCTTTACTGTGGGAAACGGGTAATAATGGCTCTTTGATGGGAACAGGTTGCCGACCCCTGGTATAAGATCTGAGCTGGTAAAACAAAAATCCTCATCAGCAGGCATTTTTTAAAGTGGGGGGGACACAGCTGCCAATCACGAATTTTGCCGGGGACATGTCCCCGGTGTCCCCGGTTAAAATGACGCCTATGTGCCCAGTGACAGCAGAAACTTAAAAGTCAAGGTAAGCTATATTTTTAACATGTCTGTAACATTTGTGCAGCGGTGAAAGCACCAGAAAGAATCATTTTTGCCATAACAGCAGTTTATGAAAGTAGTCAGACGAGAGGCGCCTGGCTGCAGCCGGGAAAATGCTCATGTTCATCAAATGCATTACTATCATTAAGTAGCGAGGTGTGTTGAAGCAGTCATCAGCTGATGAGGAGCTAGAGGGGTGGATGTTTAGGCGCATCAGGAGCAGCGAGGAACGAGAAAGTTCTGTTCAGGCTGGAGATCACACCAGATTCGCTGCTGCAGGCGTGAATCTGCAGCCATCCCCCTTCTTGACGTGACAGCAGGACTTCCCGTCCGCTCACCTGTTCACCGCTCAGGCATCAGATCATTAAGTCCTTGTCATGACCTTTTATCTTCTTAACCTCCTCCAGTCATCCAACTGGAACCAGTTAGTGTTCTTGATCATTCTATGAACATGTCACGCCTGCTCTGGTGTTAAATTAAGTCCTAGATTTTTTCATTTTTAAGGATTTTTATATGTGTGTGTGTGTGTGTGTGTGTGTGTGTGTGTGTGTGTGTGTGTGTGTGTGTGTGTGTGTGTGTGTGTGTGTGTGTGTGTGTGTGTGTGTGTGTGTGTGTGTGTGTGTGTGTGTGTGTGTGTGTGTGTGTGTGTGTGTGTTTACTGCATTATGAGTAATAGAAATGCTAACAAAAACACCCAATTATACAAACAAGTGAAACTGTAAAAATTAGAATCTCCTTCCAACGAGACAGAGAGACAATATAAAGGTTTGATTCTCTGCCTCATTATTTTTATTTAAGATTTGCTTTCAGGGCGCATTTTCCCAAACAATTAAAATGCAATTAATTAGGATTAATTAATTACAAAGCCTCTAATTAATTCGATTTTTTTTATCGAGTCCCAACCCTGATATTAATATTATTGTTAATGTTTAATATATTCACTTTGCTTAAATGTTTAACGTTTTACTTCATATAACCTCTCTAAGGGTTGGTGAAAGGAGTGGTGTCCGAGGTCTTTGATGATGCCCACTTTAACTTGTCAAATGCTGATTTGTCCAAATTGATAAACACTGGTTAATAAAAGAGTTCATTTCCTGAACGCTTCAGTTCTAGCGAGCTGCCCAGTTCGGCTGACTGGGTAAGCAAAGCATAAGGAACCATCTTCCTTTTTTACCTCAAAGGCAAAACCTTCTTTGCAAGCTGCATCAGATGCAAAATAGTTCAGCCAGATTCCAGCAGCCACCTGGAAGGTATCTCAGACCAGAGGCTCATATTTGGGGTAGACCTGCGTGCTCCAAATACCACAGAAGTCCAACTCCACCGGCAGTCTGTCCGACCCAAGTCACACGGGGACCTTCACCATAAGGGTTTGTAGACTCGGCAAACAGGCGCGGGATGGTTTTTTTTTAATAAGTGATAGTTTGTTAAACCATACAGTCAGACTGATTTTACAACCCAGACATCACAATTTTCTAAAACACTTAATTAGGCGTTGCTACACAACATCTAGGCTTACATTCCATCATTCCATTAATTGTCTCAGTTATCTTGTTCCAACCATCATTCATCATCATGTGTTCTGTGTCATCATTAGTGTAGAATAACAGTAGAGCAGGGCGATACGGCCTAAAATTAATACCACAAGATTTTGAGGATTTCACCTTGATAACGATAAATGGATGATTACTACAGGTATGCGCAGAAACAAAAGTTGTCCACTAGATGGGGCTGTCACGTGACTCAAGGTGGTACAGCTTCTTAAAGGGACATGAACGCTGCCAACCTCATTTTTTTATTAGCAGATTTATTGACATGGAAAAAACGATCATGATAAGTCAGAAATTTCGATAACAATAAATTTTCGATTTATTGCCCAGCCCTAAATAATAGTATTAAACTGATTTTATAAACAATGTCTGTTGCCTCCGTCTCAAATTATTATGAAGGTGTGATTTCCCTGAACTACCAAAAATACCTGGGTTCATCTTAGGTCAAATTTCAAAAGATCAATAATATTGATAAGTCATATTTAGATGGAATATTACATCTTATTGATCACTTAATAAAAGTAGCCACTTACATCGTGTTACATTAATTATTGACAATGGAGTAAAACCATGATTCTGTTTGTGTTCACATTTTATCTTTTAAACAATTTCTAAAAAAATACAAATTAAAGGTGTGGAACACTCATTTAATCAACACATTTGATGCTGCCTCTGCCTTGTAAGCCGGACTCGAGGCAAAAGAAGCCCAGAATTGCTTAGATTAAAACCAAACAACACTATTAGCCATGCCTCATGCCTGAGTTAATATTTGGAAAATATGCCTTCCAACAAGTCTCGTGTCTGTGGGAAAACCGTAGCCTGACCAGCCAGGGAACTCTTCTATTCCAATAACCCCACCCCCTGAGAATTCTAACCAATCTAAGCCAATCAGCGCTGAGCAGCGTTAGTCACACACCACAACGCTCAAACAAGAAAATGGCGTCTGAAGTGGAGTTCGCTGCAGCACTTTCCTCTGTTCTAAATAACTTGGACCAGTCTTTAAAACCACAACAACAAGAAGCACTAAAAGTCATTCTTCTAAAGCCTTTTTCCTACCGAGCTGGCTAGTCCCGCCCCTCATGTGCCTCTCTGCCTGTGAGTAACAGGACTACTTCTCTGTGGAGAATTAAAGAGAACAAGGATTGTGCAAAAATCAGATATAAGCGTCACAAGAACGATTCTGCAGCATTTTTTTTGTCCAAAAGCCACAAACAGACCTCATATTCTGACCATTAAACTGATATTTTTGTTATTACTTTGCCAATTTTCTTTAAATTATTCTCTTAAGTGTTGGTGCTGCTGTAACAAGTGAATTTCCCCACTGTGGGATGAATAAAGTCTATTCTAGTCTATAAATCAGGGTTGAAGAGGATGAATCCTCGTGTTTGTTTTAGATGGTTAGAGAAGGACACAATCAGACCTTTAAGGCCAGAAACAAGTCATTTATCATCTGCTTCTCAACAGGATGTTAAAACCTCAAAAAAGGTTGTATGATCTGATGAAATTAAAAATAAAAATTTTGTCTACAAAGACACCTAAGAAGAGGAAACTAAGCATCACCTCGTCAGCACCATCCCATCTGGAAACACGGATAAAAAAACTAAGTTAAACATTTTCTAGAGTGCTTCAAGTCGGCTGACTTCCACAAGGGAACGATCTGAAACACACTGCCAAGAAAACAAAATGGTGTGTTTGAGAAATCTATAAAAGTTCTGGAGAGACCCGGTCTGGATCGGAGCTGAGACCTGAAACAGCTGCAAAACAAATTCCTAAAGACAAGCTGGCTGGCCTTATAAGAAAACTCAGCTGACCGTCATCAAAAAACGTGTTCAAAGTCCCAAACGAGCTGCTTAAAAACATAAGCTGATCAAACACGAACCCTAAAGACTAATAAGGTCAAAAATAGAGTATTTTACTTTGATCCACATCCAGAGATCGTTATCCTGATCCAGAGTCCCTGAAAGGCTCAGCAGCTTCAGCCACCTGAGACCAGATCAGGATCTGAGCTAACTCAGAGGAAAGTGGTGATGACACAGAAATATGGAGAAGGAATAAAACTAAACTGAAAATGAAGAATAAAACTCAGAACTCCCTCCTGAACCTGTGACTCTGGAAACTGAGACCTGATCTTAGAATAATCTCAACAAAAGCAACCGTACCTTTGTTATTCACCATCAGAGACAAATGTCCATGGAGCTAATAACGGAGTCAGAGTTGGGACATCTTCACTTTAATGGGGGTCAAAATGAACCCAGGCTCATTTCATTTGGTGACTCGGAGAGGTTTATGGGGTGTGCTGGCGTTCCTGTCAGAGTCGGGGTGTGCATCAGCATCACACTACTTTAAATTGACACTGGAACGTCACTGCTGGCCTGAGTGGGAGTGTTTGTAGAAAAAATAATTTAAAAAAATCAGACAAGACAAATAAAAAAAAAGGATTTGATTACGTGAACGTTTGAGTACATTTTATGTTCATTTTCTCCAAATTTACTCTAAAACTGGAGTCTCTAAACATGTTTAAATCATTTAGTCCAGCTCTAAGGTAAACTAAAAAAATCTCAGTGCATCTGCTTGTAAAATAATCCAGTTAATTATCAGCATGAATGAGAAGAATCACAAGCTTGCACTTACCACCAGCCACCTCCAGGGGGCCGTTCTTCTTCTTCAGCTCCTGCAGCGCCTCAGTGAACTCCTTCCCTCCTTTTTTCTCCAGAGCAGAGCCTGAGAGAGAGGAGAGGACAGCAGTGAAACATATATTAAATAAATCATCCTCACACAGTGCAGACAGGCAGCAGGAAGCAGAGGCAGCTGATTGGTGGTCATGCAGACAGACAGGCAAGCAGGAAGTGATGATGATGACGATGGACAGACTGACATGAGGGCAGACATACAACAGTGTTATCAATTACTGCATCTCTGAGCTCTCGCTTCTACTGATGAGGCTGAAAAGATTCAAGACAGGAAGTCCTTTCTCTGTTCATACAGAAACTACACCTACAGGCTGGAATTCCTGCAACAAATGGCATCATGTTTAAGTAAACGAGTCCAGGAAACCACCAAAGTTTGATTAGAAGGAAAAGTTAAAAGGTGCAATTTGTAAAAATTACATCCAGTGGTCAAATCAGGTAACTGCAGTCCTTTTTCCTAAGCAGTCTCTTTCATGGCTGTTGCCAGATACGGATCAGCGCCAGAAGATTCTAGTTGAGGAACAAAAACGAGTCGTATGCAGCAAGTTGATAAGTAGATGAATACTTAGATATATCTGGTGTGGGCACTCGGGTGCTTTATGGAAGGGAGCACTTACTTTACCTTATTACAGTAATATTTCTTTGGGATTGCAGGAAGTGTGATCGTTTACTATATTGCTGTTAGCCTAACCCTAACCCTATTATTCACCTCACACACACATTTCACTGTAACATCAAGTTGTTGGTAACTGAAAAAGTACCTTGGGATATTTATAGTGCCGATTGAATTTAATTCATTGTTAGCATTGTTAGCTTCTGGCTCGCTTCACTAAATATTAGAGTAAAACCAAAAGATGCCATGGCTTCTTAGGGGTCGCTCCTGTTTACTGGCTTTGATTCTTTAAACAACTCTGGAGCTTTTAGCATGCCAGGGTTGAATTACAAACACCTGCGCTGCGGCGTTAGCTTGCAGCTGACCCGGCAACCTCACAAACTCAGATTGTAAATGGTGACTACGTCCAGCTTTTGTTTTTTGTTTTTTTTTTCCCTAAAGGAAAAAACTGACAAACCCCCAGCTAGCTGAGAACTAAATCCGTTTCAGTCGAACATTCCTTCCAGTATGATTGAGACATTAGACTGTTGTGTAGTTGTTTCACGCTGGAATTCTTACATACTGCACCAAAAGACAGAAATATTCAGCCATTTTCTTTGTTTAAGCTTTAAAGGAGACTGATTCATTTTTAAGATTTACTCACAGCTTAAGAAAGAAGCCATAAAAGAAACCCAAAAAAGGAAAGATGCCTTTTAACTTAACAAATAAAACAATTCAGCTAAAGATGAATTAAAAACTACTTAAATCGTGTCAGACGTTTATAGACAATGAGGTTAAAGCTCCTCTGATAGTTTAACAGAAAATAAAGTTTGTGTTGTAACGGCTTGTAGTCATTAGCTAACGGATAACCTCCGTTCCCTCGTCAACTCTGATCAACCCTCAGGAATTAGGTTAGACCTGTGTCATCAGACAGTCGACATTCTCGCTTTCAAACCAGCTAAACTGACAGCTTGGTCAAGAGTTCAGAGGTCAAAGGTGAAGAGACAGATCTCAGGCTGTCTGTGTTTCAGTCAACAGAAAAACGACAAACAGCAGCAACAGAAGCAGCATGACGATGGTTTGTTTAAGTGTGTAAATTATAACAGAAGGATGCACCGATTGTTGTTTACTTGACTGCATTCCAACATTCCAGTAAATAAAGCTGGGGTGCATAGTTTAAAAATGTTAAGGTAACTTAAAATACTTAAATTTGAATATCTGACCCCCATCTGTGGTATATGTAGTAACCAATAATTTGCAAATCCACAAGCAAAAGCTGTCCATCAACAAGAATGTGTGATTAGTGTAGTTTTAGCACTAGCGCTACGTCATACTTTTGTTTTAGCTCTCTTGGCTCCTCTTCCCGTGAGTGCTCGGGAGAAGAGTGGGAACAAGTAGCCGTTTAAAAACTCCTCCTCCTCTCCTTGATGATGTCACACTACAGACCATAGCTTTAATGATAATATTTATGTTTCTAAGAACAGCAGTAATTTATAGCTTTTTCTCTCTAGCCTTGGAAAAATATAAACAACCCTTCAAGTTACTGGAAAGTGGAGCATTAAAAACACCCATGGAAAAACACTACTCTATAGCTCTATTTTAACAGAAATCCACCCATTTACCACCATCATCATTATTATTTAAACTGCTGACTGCTGATCTCAGAATTGACTAAAACTAACAAGACTGGTGCATCCTTCTGACTTATGCAAACATCAGCAGAATGATTTATTTGCATAAACTCTCAGAGATGAACTAAAAGGTGAAGCTGTGCTGCTGTTTTTGTCGTTTTCTTCTCAGACCGTCTGGACATGCAGAGGGAAAGCAGACAGGCAGCCGAGGTCTCTGCAGCATCACTGGTTCCTTTACCTACTTCACCACCTGCATACAGGGAGGAGTTGGTCGGGTGAACGACAGCGTCGCTCTCCACCACGGAAATGTCGGCTCGGACAACTTGCAACTACGAGACGACAACATTGACAAACAACAGGCAACAATATGGTGGTAAAACACAGTGAGTGTTCAGAGCAATAAAATGAGTCAATAATGAGGGGAAAAGACTGGATGGTACAGAAGAAGAGAGGCAGAAGTCAGGGCTCTCCTTATTGGCTGAGGGCATCCCAGGAAACAAGGAGGCAACTGAGGAGGAAGAAGGTCATGGTAAAGAGTTGGATCAGGACCAGGCAGTTGGCTGGTTGGACTACGCAAAACAGATTTTGATTTTGATCTCCAAGGCTGGATCTTAATAACACATATTTTCTTTTTAAAGACATAAAGTATTTCTTCTGTCCAACTGCGTCGCCCTGATTCCTTACTTCATGATCACACTCCAGGTGAGCAGCCTCTCAATCAGGCTAAGAGATGCTTGGCTGTTTTCATTCAGTACACCGCTGCTTTATTTTAAAATGTCAACTTCTCAAAAATGAGATTAAATCACTGCAAAAGTCTGGCAGCCAAGAGAAAGAATGATCACCTGGAAGGAACCTCGACACGTCCACACAACAATGGCTCTGGGAGCCGAGAGGAATCCTTAATGGTCATCAGTCACGAGCCTTTCTGCAGCTCAGTTTGTGTCAAAGAGGCTCGAGACCTCCTGAATCATTCAGTTTTTCACACTGACAGCATATTTTTATTATCGGTGTGTGTGACAACTAATGGGACTTTAACTTTATAAGCATTTATTTTATTTTATTTAGAAAATATAAAGTGAAACTTCAGATTCCTCCCGTTTATAAATAAAACAAGTAGAGAAAAACCTAAATGTCCAAATAAAATGTGAAAAAAGAAAAAAGAAATTGATTTAGACCGGAAACATTATTTCACTTTAAAAAATATTAAAAGTAGGAATGCTCGATATCGGTTTTTCAACAGTTATTCCAATATACCGATATTGTCTGACTCTTAATTTCGGATACTGATGTGAACAGATACCAATAAATGCTGTGTCCCCCTCTCATAAAAGAAAACTAAAACATTTTAGGTCACTTTAGGTCATTTTCTGTGCAAAATGACAACTACTACAATTTAAGTTAGTACTATTTATTTAGTGTCCAACAGCAGCTGAAGCTCATTCGAAGGCCTGGAATATACTTGCTTTTTAACAACGCGTGTTTACAATGGCTGCCTCAAGTAACTTGCATTGATTTCATGTGTTGTTTGTGCGTGTCGCCCGAAATCAATATGATGCCTTTGAACGCTGCAATATACGAGTAACCAGTAGGCAGGGTAAACAAAATGAGCAACACACACTCACCATGGTCACTCCATCCCTGGTTTAGAGGTCTTTCACACCATCTACGATACCGCTGCTGTCTTTTTTTCTGTTGTGACCTCAAAATTGACCAGTTAGTTAACCCTTTCTAACTCCATGTTTGTTTTGGTTTTAACTTGTATCCATGACATCACATATGTAGACACCCTGTGGACTGACGCTGCCAATAGGGAACATAAGGTTCCTCCCTTTCCGGTCGACTCATGGGTCCCCGGAAGAACGAAAAAATGAATGCGAGTCAAATGCAAGTAAAAGTTATTTTCTAATCCGCTTAGTCTTAGAACAGTGGTCTGCAATAGGCCGCCCGCGGGCCCCCTCTGTGTGGTCTACCTCCCAAGTTGTGCCAAATAAACTAAAATATCTCAAGAACTTTACCTCAGATCTGTCATATGTTGACATTTTGAGAGGGATAAGTAGCTGAACATTTTTTATGTATAATATGTGTATGATATGTAAAAGTGGTGTCATTAAAAGACTGAAAACCGATAAAAATATTTTCGGCTATTAAAATTTTATGCCGATATTAATGGTAGACCGATAATATCAGACATCTCTAATTAAAAGCATCCAGTCTTTTAAACAGACCAGCAAACATAAAAATACTGCTGGCAGTGTGAACAGAGTCAGATATATCAATCCGTTATTCAGAAGCTTCTCAGCTGCTGGACATTCAAGGATTCCAGATGTGGTAGTCCACGCGGGGGTGGGTGGGGGTGGGGGGGTGGGGTGTCTGGGATGAAAGCTCACCTAGATCATCTTTAAGTTCAAGTTCAGCATTGATGGGGTTGATGACCCCGTCCACGTCAAAGCCAGCCAAGTTACTGACCTCACTGTGGATGAGGTTGAGCTGTGAGGAGGGTGGGGAGGGGCATGCACAGGAGGAGGAAGAGGAGCAAAAAAGGAAAGAGGTGAGGAAGCGTTAAAACCAGATTCACCCCGCAGCTCAGAGGGATACCTTAATAAGTCGTAATGTAATGAAGGCACATTTCTTTGGTGCCTCACTGTACAGCACCATTGTGTTTTGGCTTCGTTCTGCCTCCTTTACTCAACTTAAAATTTTCACAAGACAATTTGGATCAGCCATTTCAACGTTAAACCGACATATTAGCGCAATAAACCTGAAAGAATTTGAGTGAATTAGAATGAATATAAATACTTTTTAAATTGGGTCTGCTTTTAACATTTTATAATACAGCAAAATTACACCAGAATTAAATCTGTACATCAAAGGCTGAACCCAACAAAATGTTTGGAAGAATAAAGCCTGCAGATACTGGCACACATCATCTGATTTTACCACCATTGTTTGGTCCAACTTCTGCTTTTCAAGAGTGAAACTTTGGGTTTTTACCGTTTTAGAGCAACACAATTGAAATAGTAGCCGACAGGCCAAAGCATCAAAGTATCCCTCGAGTTTCACATATTAAGCCAAGTTTGAGGAACACAATTCAAGACTTATTGTTATTTAAACCTTGAATTTCACCACCAAGCTGTGAATTTGATAAAAGAATAGACAAACCATCCACAGGAAAAGTAGCAAAGACAGAAAGCAGATAGAGAGACTGAAGATGTCAGAGTAACACTGTAAGAATGATACAGTTCCAGTGTTCAAGTCTATAAAGCAAACAGGAGGCAACACAGTAATTCCTAATGAAGACAACAGATGTTTTGTTCTGCAGATACAGAGAAAATCAGCTGGGAATTACGTCACATTTCAAATCAATTTTGTCTTTGTGTCATGAAAATATGAAATAAGGATTTAATTTAAAAGAATGTATTATCTAAGAAGCTGTTTATTTGTTTGATGACATCTAAAGCAAACAATGAGACTGAATCATGCCGACTGGCGTCATTAATCACTAATGCATGTGGCACGTGGCAGATTGAATCAGAGGACTGAAACCAAAGAGAGAGTAAACAAATGGCTCCAAGTCTGCAGATCTAATGTTCCGTGGAGAAATTCCCACTAGATGATTATCTATAAAGTCAACCTAGTCCTATCAAACAGCATACAGTTGACTGAACTGAAAACTAAACCATTCAACTGTTGCTATCTGATGAAACAATATAATAAACTGAACAGAGCTTACAAAGTTAGAATCATATGAAAACAGAAATAAAAGTCTGCAGTAATCACTTTCTAAGCCAAGCAAAGGAGACGCTGGCTCTTGTTGCATCATTCTGGGGTCATTCTCTAAGAGGCTTTGCTGATATTTCATTTCTCAGATCTTTTAATCATGAACCTTTGATCTTGTGATTTTAATTCGCTAAAGAAAAACCTTTTTTCAAGACTCGGCTAAACTTACTTCCAAATCCTGTCTCATCAGGTAGTTTAAAAAGTCGTTCTTGATCACTAGTAAAGGCAAAGTAAGCTGACAAGTCTGAGGTATAGATTAATAGAGCCAATAATAACTATTACAAAGGAGAGCTGTACTGGAAATATAAAAGGCGCTTTATAAGAGGAGACTTACAGGGTTTTGTTTGCATAGTTGATTCCTGTCACTTTTTCTTTTTGGTTTCATGATGTTTAAAATTAGCTGAAACACGAGTGAGGTTTATAGATCTGCATGGGGTTTGTTGATCTGCACACGGTTTATAGATCTGTGTGGGGTTCATGTATCTGTGCAGGGTAATAGATCTGTACAACGTTTATAGATCTGTGCAGGGTTTATTGATCTGCATGGTCTTCATAGATTTGCACATGTTTAAAGATCTATGTAAGGTTTATAGATTTGTGCAGGGTTCATAGATCTAGATATGTTTATAAGTCTGTGATGGGTTTATAGATTTTTTTCTGTGTTTACAGATCTATGTGGGGTTTATAGATCTGTGCAGAGTTTATAGATATGTGAGATGACAGTAAAACTGACCTTTTGACCCAGGAAGAGGCTTTTTGTGGAGAGCACGGTGAAGCTGTCAGCCGGAGATCCCTCTGTGGTGCTGTCTGCTGACGCCGCCTTGCTCACCTCGCCCGGTTTCTGTTAAAGACGTAAACATTTGTGACTTTGTTATTCTCTCTGTGGTATCACTGATATGCAAAAAGACTAAAAAGGTAAAAAAAACTATCTATAAAGAAACCTCAAACATATCAGGCTTTTTGCTGAGAGACACACCTTAGTCTTCCCTCCTGCCCTTTTCCCACTCAGCTTCTTAGCTGCCGTCTTCTTGACCGTCTTGGGTTTCTTCTCTGGAGCAGGTGACACGGGAATGTCCAGTTTGCCCCTTGCTCCTCTCTTCTTGGCCAGTAGCTCTGGATGGATGTTCGGAAGTACTCCACCAGCAGCAATGGTCACACCTTTGAGCAACTGACAGGAAAACAAAATGTGACATATGATATCTTACGGCACCAGTGAATAAATCTTATGTCTCTCTTTTAGTGCATTTGAAATTGGTCACCTGGTTCAGCTCCTCATCATTGGCGATGGCCAGCAGGATGTGTCGCGGCGTCACGCGACCCTTTTTATTGTCTCTCGCTGCATTACCTGCCAACTCCAGGATCTCAGCTAAAGATAGAATGACATAAACAAAATGAACACCTATTGCCAGGTCAAAACAAAAATTTGATATATATAAACATATTAAATTGAAAATAAAGTTCACCAGTGAGGTACTCCAGGACAGCGGCCAGGTAGACAGGCGCTCCCACTCCTATGCGATATTTGGGCAACCCTCTCTTGATGTAACGCAGCATGCGTCCAACAGGAAAGATGACGCCGGCCTTAGTGGACCGTGACGTCTTAGTCGACTTCTTCTTGCCTCCTCGGCTGGACATGATGCTAAAACTGTAACCAGTGGCGGGCTCTGCAGAGGAAACCAATGAAACATGTGAACAATGATTACTTGTACTTTATGGTAACATGGTGCATGTAAAGAAAATTAATAAAATATTCATTAGACTTAAGTGAACATTGCCTTAGAACGCAACTCTAAATGATCAAAGATTCTCTTTTAAGAGTAAAACTGAATTATTTTGTTCATTTATCCTTTTCCTGGTTTTAAATCAGAAGAATAATGTATGACTACTTATCAATAAAGACTGTATGTGGCCACTAAATGCTGCCTGTTTCGAAAACAATGAGAAGCTGCCTTGATTAACATGACTGAGACAAAGGGGGTGTGTGTTGGCAAGAATCTGGTGATATGATACATATCACAATACAAGGGAACAATATGATATATGGCAATACTAAAAGCTAGGCAGTATTTGAGATTTTTAGGACTGAATTTGTTTAAACACTTGTAAAATCTCATTACTTCGTCATAATAAGAGGTGGAAAAAGATGCTGCCCCCTAGCAATCGGAGTATAAATTGCACCAAACAAAAGAAATACAGAAAATATTTGCCAGTAAATTCACTAAAATGTCATTTGATACACTGCTTCAATTACGTATCATTAACACAAAACACTGCAGTGTTTTGATGTTTTCTTACATCCACAATAGATAAATATTATTCCAGTGATGTTAGGTAATGGTCACTAATCCATTGAAGGGTTTGGTTGATGTCACCTCGTGCAAAAAAATAAATAAATGAAATCTATGTCATTGTCATGCTCTGATGCCCTGTGGGAACTTATGCTAGATGGCATTTTCATCCCTGGAACGGTCGTTTTTAAACGTGCATAATTAAAAACGTTTGGATATCTGCATGAAAACAAACTCAAAGTCATGAAATATAAACAAAACGGTGGAGGAGATCAATATTGCAGCGCCAGATCGGTTAGTCACTGGCAATCGGTTATCCGACACCACAGGCCACGCTTTTCCCGTTCTCTTTTTTATTCTGCTCCAACACAAACACCACCTCATTACCATTACACGTGACATTAACCCGCGGCAGCTACCGTGTTCTAAACCCAAAGACCGCTAACGCAATCCATTTGACTTGAAACATCTGCGGCATTTCTCCATCCGGCCAGGTGTAGGTAGGTTCATCAGCGCGGAGGGCATTTCCCTGTCCGCTGACATCCATTTCCGCATGTCAACAGCAGCCGAACGTCTCGCGCGCATCTTTCGTTTCAACCAAAGTGTAAAACGACCGAATTGCAGCTGTCCGGCGACACGGGGGGTGTTTTCCCGTACAGGTCAGCGAGCTTTCGGATGGAAATTACCCCGGTGGATCGGCGGCAGCTGCCCGCTCCTCCTCCCCTCCCCTCCCCTCTTCTTCACCGCCTGTCAGTTCCAGAAACACGGTCTCCGCTCTCGGGCCTCCCATGGCAGGAAGGGACAAAACGGTAACGTTAACAGCTCCATTCGGTGCACGAGTACATGCTCCACCGACGAGAGGCGACACTTGGTAGACACGGAGCGGGGGTACTTACAAACAAGCGGCGGCAGAGGGAATAATTCTCCCGTTCACCCGGTAACAAGCCTGGGTAGTGTCCCCGATTCCCACAATCCACAGCGAGCTGGTAGAACGGCGCGAGCCAGGCTGCCCGCGGAGCTCGACCGACCGCTGTGATGATCTTTAACCCTTTACGCATATGTGTTTCTAAACACCTGATTAAACAGGAAACACGTCCTCTTTACGCGGAAATAGCTTTTATTTTTTTTATTTCAGCTTCTAAACAAACTTAAGATACATTTAAGTAACCTTTGCCCTCGTGACATGCTCCTGAATGAACCCTAATTAACACACTTGTCTTTATTTAATCACACTTGTTTTTATTTAATCAATGTTAGATTAGCCTTACAGTGCTGCCACAAAACTAGCTCAAACATGTTCCTTTAATGCTAGTGTGTCGGAACATTACATGATGGTCAAGTGTTTTTCCTTTACTGACTAGTCAGCAACGTTCAAGGGGAGTTCAAAGCCTTTTGAAATCCAAATGACTGATTGGATTAATTATTTTTCATTTGGGGAAGAACTGTGTCATCAATGACTGACTTTTAAAAATAAACGATACGATATCTTCACTTTTATGATTTTCTTCATATTCTGTGGACTCCACTAACTCAGCTGACAACACTACATTTTTACACACCATAAAATAAACTAAACAACTGTGAAATCCTTTATTCTTCAAATTTCTACAGACGATTGAGTAATGACAGCATCTTGCCACTAGAGGTCATACCTAAGCTTTTTCTTTGTAGAAATATCATAGACTGTACATAGAAATATTCGCAAAATCAAGAAAATCTGTGTATTGAAATAAATTGATCGTATTAGTTGATCCTATAAATCAGCAAGAGGCTTGTGTATAATAATTTAAAATTAAAATGTACTTTCCTGATGATAGTATTGATATTTTTACCTCACTCCAGACCATACATAGCCTAGTGAACTATGGACCAAGTTCTTGCTTTGCAAAGTTTGTAAATAATACATTTATTCAGCCTGGCTTGCCAGGCTAGACCATACACACACTTTTTAGGATGATGTACATTTTGTGTTTTCTTTCCATACTTCCATTGATTTAAAATACAATCATGCAAATAAAACGTTTATTATATTTCCGTTAAATCAAAGCAGTAATTGAAAAAAATTTAATGCAAAATTTTATTCTTTTCTTGCATTTGAGATGTGTGAATGAAATTCCAACCAGTTGACAAATAATTCACAGCACTGCCTTATGCCTTATCAGTCTGAATGTTTAAACTCTGACAACAGGGAGTGAAGGTCTGATGAAACATAACAATAGCTAACTTCATTTCTGTCATCATATAGAGGCTCACATTTCATATCACTTGTGCAGCACACCAATAGATTTTAAGTTTATTCTGAAAATGCAAAATCTGACATGAGAGGCAACCATCGAGGGCAACATGCTCTTTGAATCAGATCCTTGCAACAGTTTTCAAACTTGCATGAGTATAGGATGTATTGTTAAATAATTTACATTGATAATGGATCACATGGTGCAGCAGCACACAGGCTTGAAGTTAAGTTCTGATCCTTCAGGGAGTGTCTTCTGATAATTAATGGCATAAATGGAAAGTGCAGTAAGGTCATGAAGCCATCAGTAAAGCTAGTTGTGATGCAAATTACTGCATTAAAAGATTCTGATACAATGACAACAGAACTGCCTCTGTGTTTCATTTCTCTGTTCACATATGAACTATAGAAAAAAATGTTTCCCGAAGGAATAAAGTTTAGCTTAGTTTAGTTTAGTTTAGTTTAGTTTAGTTTATTGAACAACAACAGCACAAAAGACAATGTTACATGTAAGGGCAATCCAACTGTTGTTTTGCACAGAGATTTTCTAACAAATATGGTTCAATTTAATTATTTTCATCATTGATTAATATGCTGATTGTTTTTGTGACAATTATTTGTATTGGATTGGCAATCAATTTTAGAAAAAGATAACATCGGTTAAAGTTTCAGCAGATTGACTCTGTAATTAACATTAGCCCAGCAGCCAAATGATAAAAATGCAATTCTTTTAAAATAATTAGAATACAAATATTTCTAATAAAATAACAGTAAAGCCATTTATTTGTTTTTAAAAAGCTGTTTTTCTATCCACAAATTCACTTCTGTACTTGTTTTGTATTTGAACAATCTCAACCATAGATATGAATACGTAGATGCCCCACTGGGCGCTGGAGAGCGTAACAATGTGGGCCTCCTCACCACAGATATGTAAATAAACATATTTAAACATTATATACATGTCTATGCTCCTCAGTCTATGCAGAGTGTGCAACTATGACCGTTTTTGTGCAGCCCATGGTTGTAACACATTACTATTGAAAACAGGTCATGTGGGATTACTAATGACTTTTCTAAGCTACCTGGTGGGATTCTAAATTTTAATTTATTTTCTTAAATTATTTGTATGTTTTAATTATCATGTCATACAATGTGTCTGATTTTGTGAAAAAGTTTTACAACGTGTGTTTTTTAGTTGGGTAAGCACAATCCTCAGCAGAAATGAATGAACTTGGTTCCAATGAGACCCATCTAAGATGTCGGCGGGCCACTACGGCAGCGGAAGTCCATGTGGGCGGGGCGTCTGCGGTCTCAACCTTCCAACAACAAACCGAAAAAAAAAATCATAGATCAGTGGAAGCATAATGTGTGTGTGTGTGTGTGTGTGTGTGTGTGTGTGTGTGTGTGTGTGTGTGTGTGTGTGTGTGTGTGTGTGTGTGTGTGTGTGTGTGTGACAAACAGAGCGCCCCGTGAACGAGCTTGTAAGGGCGCGCGCGTGCGGAACACATTATATGGAACACCGGGTTCGTCCTGGGCCAGCTGACCACGAATCAGCCAATCAGAAGTCGTTATCTGTTGTAAATAAATTGCCGCTTCCAAACGCTGTGAACAGCTGGTGCAGGAGCAAACAGAAAGGAAGAACCGAAGGAACATGGTGTTGGACGAGTCCGTCAGCGGTGAGTTGCAGTTTTATGTTACTGTCTACATTATCAGAGGGACATAAACCTGGACGACTTGGTCACTAACTCAAGACAAAGCGTCTACATTCACTGTTTTTGTCTGAGATGCATCCCAATTTCGAATGAAATTATAAATATTTTTTTTATTTCAAACACCAACCAGGAAAACGATCCTGTGTAAATTATTTAAAATTCCCCAGATTTCTAAGTCCTAAACCAAAGGCGTTACACAATTTAGCTGTTTTTAGTTCGTTATAAAGAAACAAATGAATATTTGTATTATTAGTACAAATAACCGTGATTTGTCGTTTATATTTCTCTATTAGTACTTGATCAAAGTGGATGTAAGGCATATTGATCCTCAAGAATGTTCAAAAGTGCGCTGTAATAATGGATTGTGATGGAATAGCACATTTTGCTGCACTTGGGGGACTGAAGTGAAATCTAAGAAGTTAAAGGTTAATAGTAAAACACACTAGTGCTTTTGTATTTTTGTGATTTTCTTTATGTAAAATCACACAATTTTAACAAATAGAAATTTTCTAACTTAAATAATATGCGGGAAATACTGATTTGTCCAAGTTAGTGTTACATAATCTCAATTTTAAAGTAAAAGCCTGAAAAGTCTAATTAAACATGAGTTGTGTTGATAAAATAAGTTTATTTTTACTCATTTATTTGCTATGTGAGTTCAGGAAAAAAAGATGGTGTTTTAATCTTGGTAATATTTACTGAGTGATGAAGCTGTTGCACATCTGTTTGTGTCTACAGAGAGGAGGAAGGCAGAGGGGAGAACAGTAAGCAGAGGACAGGTATGACGGCAGCTTTGCAATGAAGAAGAAACGTCAGAAAAAGTTAATTAATAGCATTTAATCAAACAGGTTAAGCAGCAAAACAAGTCATAACCTGTGTGTGTGGACTTGCATGCATTATTATCTCCATGATTGATGTCAAGTTGTTGTTGTTGTTCACCTCAAGGGCAACATGCCGATTATCACTTGTAAGTCGCTTTGGACAAAAGCGTCTGCTAAACACATAAACAGAAACATTATGTTTTCCTTTTTCAGCCTTCTTGGTTTTGTTGCTGCTTGTTTTTTCATGGAGAACCACTTGGTTATTAGGCTGCAGAACTCTTGTTTTCATAACCTGTTCAGACAAAACTGGTGTCGGTGCAGGATCCGCTCGGGTGCAGGATCGGCTCGGGGTCCTTCGACTGCCGACGACGTCACATTACTGCAAATCTACTCTGCTTTCACACATACTTTTTGGAAAGACATCAGCAGTTTTGTTAATAAATTCTTGTTAACACCTAAATGTTTTCTTTATAATTGTAATTTCTTAAAGAGCAAGTCAACCCCTACCAGAGTCTAACTCCACTCCCACTTCATGTTTGAAAAATGCAACAAATGCTGTTGCCTGGCAGACAGAGGAGCTGCTAAAAAAATACACACACACACAGGCTCACGACAGCATTGTGACATCATAATGTACCAGTTTACATCATAGCATACCTCAGCCAATAGCGGTGGCAGATTTAAATTAAAATACAGTGCAGAGTTTTTACCTGACAATGGCACAACACTGCCAGTTTTAGGCAGAATATTTAAATTTTAACTAAGATGCACTGAAGTGCCAAATTATTGACTACACGTGTCTGCAGCACGATTAGACACTCGTTTATTTAGTTTATCGGCAAAAAATGATTATTTGGGGGTGACTTGCTCTTTAATAAAACACCATATTATCTTTGTTTTGTAAAAAATGTGAAGCCGCATAAAACCAACATCGGACTGACAAAAAAATAGAACAGTTCTTATATGTGAAGCCATATCTGTTTGTATTAATGCGGAGTTCGTCTGTGTAATTCCTTAGTAGTTATCTAAATACATTCTTTGGCATGCTTGGTGTCTTTCAATAAAGTTTTTATATTTTATTTTGCCCCATTTCATCAACATCAAGAGTTTTTGAGGGTCGCCGTTTATCATTTGATTATATTTTACATTTCCTTTAGAAATTCAAACATATTTTCTCCAAAAACAGTTTTTTGGACTACAGTACTAAGACCGCAAATTTGTTCTGACCAATCAAAATCATAACATAACTTCCGTAAGATTCATGTTCAGCCAATCAACTACTTTGACGTCATCGGCAATCGAAGGACCCCGAGCCGATCCTGTACCGACACCGGGCAACCAGGCAAAGCCCTGCTCACGTTTAAACAATGTCAATTTACTGTATTCTCTCGTTGCTGTTTTCGTTTAGCTCATGCTGAAAGGTAAGTTTTTTTTTTGTTTTTTTTTTTTAATTTTTTTTTTATTACTTTCCTCCTGTTTTAAACTACTGGGACTGAATTCCTGTGCAACAGGCTCAACCTGAAAAGCTGCTCCCTCTAGTTGTGGATCAGTTGCTAACATGAAGTCATCGTTTGTGCTCAAAAAAGGAGAAAATTCACTTCAAGTTTATTTATATAGCGCCAAATCACGACAAGAGTTGTCTCAAGGCACTTCGCATAATAAAACCTTCCAATACAGAACAATCTGAAACTTCAGGCCTGAGACCTTCCTGATAATCGTTTAACATTGTTCCCACCGTTGCCATGGTGACGCTGGAGGCAGCCAGGGTAAAAGTTGTCATTTTTTTTAGAAAGTCTGAAGAATGCGACTCTTATCCCTAGATGGAATTCCTGCTGACTGATCGGATACAGTTCCCTTTCACTGGTGAAAGCTTTCACTTCTCTGAGGAAACCACTGGACATGAAGGAGTTTTAGTATCGATCCAGAACAAACTTTTTTATTTTTTCTAATAACAGTAAATTCATCTTAGCAGCCACGGTATTGTTTCTTTACATAACCTGAAGGCAGCTTCAGTGTGTTATCTTTTTTAAAACATGGCTGTTTTTACATGTTTCTCCATCATTAAGTGCATGTTTCAGAAATGCAGTACAGCTCAATATCTGTGGATTACACCACATGTTCAGTTTCTGTCTTTTTGTTTTTGTACTGCAGGAGGCCCCTGGAGGACTGTGGGATTCTGTAAAGAAAGCTGCATTTGTAATTGGATCTGGAATATTGTTCTTGGCTGCCTTTGGCAACTCGCTGACATGGTAAGAGGACCATTGCACTGCTAACATCCAGTGGATGAGTGAGATTATTGCAGATTGGGAAAGATGAAGGGCAGAATTATCTAGATGGTAATGGAGGGGCATGGTTGGAAAGATTAGATCAGACCAAGATGGTGGCTCTGATTTACATCAGAGGTTGACATCACATGACTGAGCAGGCTCTTATGGGGTTAGGGCTGGGGCCAAATAACTAAACCGTGATGGAGAAAAGCACAATTTGACCCATAGGTGTGCATGGAGGGGGTGGTGCCCATCATGCATACTGGAACCAGCCACTAGGGGGCACTTGCATGACAATCAAATGGCTGGTTTTATCTATGCTAATGATGTAGGAAGGCTTTAAAGGTGTAAAACACAGAATAATATATTTTTTAATTGTCATTTCTGATAAACGAGTGTTCAACACCTTAAAGAAAAAACAAATGAAAAGTGATGGACTTCTTCCAACAGGCACCTTCAGAAGTTCTGGGGAGCTTCAGGAGACTTCTGGCAGAACTTGTGGACAAAAGTCTACGTGGCCTTTGAGGGTCATGATGCTGCTTTGTTCTTTATAGGTAAGAAACTCTCCATAGTCAGGCTGCAACTGGTAGGATGTAGGGGTGGTTGGTTTGTAGAAGTTATCCAAATTTCTGCAGACTGAGATCTTCCAGCATTGCAACAATATCAACATATATTGATCATTTTTATCCCATCGGACAAAAACGCCGGTTTATTATGTGAATGCTATCCAGTGTTCCCTCTGTTAGATGTTCCAGTAGTTGGACTCTTCTGCTTCCCCGAACAGGAACAATGCTTGCCCCCACTTTGGCCTTCTGGGGTTGTAATCTTCTCCTGCTGGTGGTGGACACCACTGGTAAACCGTCTTTCATCACCCGGTACCGTATCCAGCAGGACAAGAATAATCCGGTACGCTCCAGATACTCAACTACTGTTTTTCTTTTTCATATACTGAGCTTTCATTTCTCCTTGAACAAAACGTCTCATGACCGCAGGAATCTCCTCATAATAAATCAGTCGTATTTTTTTAGTGGGACTCGATCAGCAAGTGACTTCATCTGGACCTTTTTGAAAATGGTCTTTTTTTTTTTCCAAGACCGCTTCTTATCACCACTTCTATAAAAATTACAACACAATTTTTCTAAAATGACTGTTTTGCCACGATAATCTCAGACAGATGGGACACATCGGGTCCTCAGTGATCCTAATGTGATGTGTCCAAGCCTGAACAAAGTTCTCCGACTGTGTTTGATTAACAGATGTTGTTGCACGCTGCAGAGATAAAGACATTACTGATAACCAAGAGTGGCAACAGTAAATAAATTAGTGATACTTTATCAAGCCAGGACAGGGAGCACACAGGAAGCTCATTTATTGATCTGAGGAAATTGCTTTTAGGTTATTTTTTTATCAAAGAGCCATGAATTGTGCACATTTGCATTTGCATAACCTTTTATGACTCCATCAGAGTTCATCCCTTCACCCGAGGGATTATAACTTTCATAATTTCATTAAACCCCTTTATCATCTCTGATGCTGTAATCTGTGATCTGTCTGAAAATGCTGTTTGGGTATTTTTCCAGGCTTTAGGACAAATTCTTGTTTAATCGGTCATCACTAATGAATGCAGAATGAACAGAACTTTTTGGCAATTGTCCAAACCTAACCCAAAAAAGGTCTTCAAATCAGTTATCTTTGTTTGAAATGAGTTTCTGTATAAATCAAAGTAATTCACAAAGACTTAATAAAATACAGATAAAACCAGTCTCAAACTTTTGAAGTTGTGCACACACTCATGCATACCCTCACTCTCATAGATCAGGGCCAACCCCAAGGCAAAAATTCTATTCAAATTCGATTCAAAGACGCTTTATTAATCCCAGAGAGAAATTAGAGTTTCAGTACACACAATTCTAAGATCAGACACACATACATAGGCAAAGACACATGACAAGAATTGGTGACTGTGGTCATTCGCAACCCGAGTCGCGCTACCTTAATAGAGATCAGAGGGGTTTACATGAGGATTGGGTTAGTTTTCAACCTCACAGGCTCAAGGGCACCAGATTCAGATAAGAAATTGTTTTGGGGCCAGACAGATAATTTCTTCTCTGTCTTAAAGTTCCACTGGTCCTCAACCTCTCAAAATCCAATAATGGCGTGAATTAATCTATCCCAATCCGTGCTGATTCGTCCACTCGCTCCTTGATTGCATCCATCTTTTGTGCCAATGCATGAATCTCAGCCAAAGTCCCAAGCTTACGACTCATCTCGCCAATTATGAGTTTGTGCATTCACAGCGTGGTGTAATCCATCCCTGAGCTCCGGGAAAGAGCCAATATTCCTCGACGGCTCGTTAACTTTCCGGTAAGCCAGGTAACCTCCCAGGCCAAACAGCAGGAAACCTGACACCAACACCACGAATATCCATACGTCTTCAGAATCCTCTACAGACAGTTGAGAGAGGCAGATCAGGTTCCACTGTTTCCAGGAGTCCATGATATACCCAGCTGGCTCTGTCCCAGAGGGGCACCCGGGAGCCCCTTCTCCCGTTCTCATTGTTGAAAAAATTTGTCAATCGCGTTGACAGACCAACTGACCAGATCCATTTTTAATAATTTCCAGAAAAAATGCAGAAAGCGCCATACACCCAAAGACAGGACAAAGAGTCTTGGGATGAGGAGGGATGAAAAAGAGAAAAAAAGCGTCTGTACTCTCCAAGAGCCGGAAGAATGAAAAGTGATAAAATGTATAAATGTTATGAAAAGCTGATGTCTCACTGGGTGTGTGTGGCTCTTTATAGGATGCAAAAAAATATCGATACTCTGAAATATCGTGATACTTTGTGTTCTAATGCTGAATTTAAATTTAAAGTGGAGTATGGATGTATTTCTTTTGCTTGGTGCAAATCACACTCCCGACTGCTAAGTGGCAGCAGTTTTTACAGAACAAGATCTCATGATAACTGGATGCACCTTGGGCCCAATCCCAATACTCGCACTGCCCCCTACGGTCTTCAGCAAAGTGCACTTGGAGGAAGTGCGCAGTAAGGCTTCGAGTGTCGAAATAATAGCCAAATTGGGGGCCGCGAGCATTGCGTCATCAACCGCAACCCATGCCGTTCGCTGTTTGTGCTAGTTTAACAAAAAATCTGTAACAACTTTCAATTTCGTGACAAAATTTACATTCATTGCGGCTCATGATGAATCTTAGTTTAAAACATTCAGAGCATGAATAAATATCAATTGTCTTAAAAATAACTCCTTTCATTTGAAAATGCCTTTTTTCAGAAAAGGCAATTAGGCCGTTGTTCCGTCTCCTTCTCAAAATTCCCATGCAGCAATGGATTGTGGATAATACCCTTAGCAGATCAAGGATGTAAAACGGGCGTGTTCAATTTCTGCACTTAAGAATTGGGACACCCTTCACACTCGCACTCCTGGACAGGAACCTGCAATTGAAGGGCGTAAGGGTGGAAGTACGGGTATTGGAATTGGGCATAAGTCTTTGGGCGGCACTGTTTCCTTCTATGTAAGCCTTCAAGGACAAAATGCATTTACTGATTTGTAATACTGATGGATACGGGTAGTATTGGGATTGGCCCTTAGAAGTGTCAGGCCTGCGTTTTTCCAATACGGAGCCCATCTACTTCCGGAAAACGGAAATGAGAAACAATTAATTCAAGTCAGTGCGGCTATAAAAGCTATGTTCTAATCCCGAGTGGGGCTATAAAAGCTATGTTCTAATCCCGTTTGATATGTGCCATGGATTTCACTTATGATGTCTGTACATTTTAAAGGTGTGTTTTGATGCCAACAAAGCGCTTATTTTACAACGGCAGCAAGTTATTTTAGGTTTTGTGTGAAAAGATGTATAGAACTACAAATGTTTCTCACCAAATTGACATAATCAAACCAGACACGAAGAAAAAAATTGAGTTTGGTGAGCTTCCAATCTTTTACCCAGGAGGACATTAAACGTGGAGAAAACCAAAGCAAACGATCTAGTCATGTGTGAGATTCTGCGGTGATGTCCTATATATGCAATGTCTGATTTTGTAGTCTTCTTACAAGCTGATAGATCTAAAAGTTTATCTTATAAAATGGCTTTTTTAGCTCCATCCACTTGCATTCAGTTTTTCATTGTTCCTGGTACCTATGAGGGATGAGACTTTGACTCAGTCTTAAAAATTGCAAAATTTGCCTTTCATTATTGTATTATTGTAACAAGTTGTAACATATGTGAGATTTACGGCCATCTAAAGGTTTATAAAGTAATTTGAGTGTGACCGTTTTTGATATTAAAGCAGTTTTATTGGGCTGGGCTGGTTTTCAAATTGCAGCTGTTCAAAGAACTAATTTCAGATAATGGTTCATAACTCACTGAATATCATAATACTTTACTGTACTCAGTTTTGTATCTCTCTTTTGGGGGGTGTTCATTAAAAAAATGCAAATCTGATAAATGCTTTAAAATTTGTATTTAGAAACAAAACAAAGATAAATGGACGTTTGATGAGCTACGCTGACCGAACATAACCCACAGGAACAGTTCTGCGCTCTGGTGATTCATTAACTTACACAAATAAAAGCGATTTTGCTTTTCAGGGGAAGATCAAACAGAAACTTTGGTTCTTGGTTCGGTTCTGCATGAACAAATGGGAACCTCTGGTTCATAGAAAAGCTTTCTGTCGGATTATGAAAAACAAGTTTGTCTATAAACGGAACTAATCTCACAATGTGCCAGCATTTATCATTTTGTTGCTTTGAATATAAAAGAACATAATTATCTGTGCTGCATTGATAATGAGGTTGTTCTGCCCTCAGGCTGTGTCAAGTTAAACCCGTGCAAAGGTCCAGGTTCACTGTGTTCTCATGCAAATGCACGAAGACCATAAACATATTTATAACCAGGGTTCATAGGTTTAAGATAAACACTGACCTGATGGTAAAAGATCAGTAGCCACATGCGCTAAATGTTGAGATTTAGTCATTTTCTGTGTTACTTAATTGTGTTTTCTGAGATTTGACTGCGGTGTGATTTCTATGCCTATGTAGGTGGATCCTGTGAAGCTGCGCCAGGCGGTGAAGACTGTCCTCTTTAACCACATGTTCATCTCCGGCCCGATGGTGGTGGTCGTTTACCTCCTGATGTCCTGGAGAGGTGACCCCTGCGGACCCGAGCTGCCCACCTTCCACTGGGCCCTGATGGAGCTGGCTGTCTTCTCCATGCTGGAGGAACTTTTGTTTTACTACTCGCACAGGTAGGGAGCGATCTGCTTTAACAGCACACGCGTCTTTTACACGGATACTTCACGTGAGTCTCCTCTACATTCCCAGGTTGTTCCACCATCCCAGCCTCTACAAGCACTTCCACAAACAGCACCACGAGTGGACTGCTCCCATTGGACTCGTCTCCATTTACGCTCACCCCCTGGAGCACGTGGTATATAAAAGTTTGTTTCGTGCTTTGATTTAAACTCCGTAACCGTGAAGATTCCGACAGGTGTTGTTTTGCTGTTAGATCTCCAACACGCTGCCCGTAGTAATCGGGCCAGTGATTCTGGGCTCACACATCTCCTCAACCTGCATGTGGTACTGCTTGGCTCTTGTCAGCACCACCATCTCTCACTGTGGATACCACCTCCCCTTCCTGCCCTCCCCCGAGTTTCATGACTTCCATCATCTCAGGTGAGTCTGCCTAATCGCATTACTTGTTTTTCATTCATCTTTTGAATGTGGGATGTTATTTATTTATAGAAGTAATGGGGAACCTTAAATATCCAGGTCCTGATGAAACATTTGATCTCTGACTGAATTTGTCACATGGAATTTCAGACATGAACATGTTTGGAACGCACCAAATACATTAGGGAAAAACAAGAAAAAGGAAGATTTCTATAAATGACTTTAGATACCCAAACTAAAGTTTAAAGACATTGTCTAAAGGTGTATTATTCTGGTTCCAGGTTCAACCAGTGCTTTGGGGTTTTTGGTGTTCTGGACCGGCTCCACGGCACTGACGCTAAATTCCGAGAGACCAAGCAGTATGAACGGCACGTTCTTCTTACCAGCTTCACCCCTCTCACCCAGAGCATCCCTGACTCACCCAAAAAGAGCCAATAATGGCCTCTTAACCTTTCTAGTTCCTACTCAAGTGATCATTTTAAATTTCATGTATTTGATTTTAAACTGTGAAGCTCTGCTACAACTCCCAAACTTCACTTTTCTGTGACAAAATCCAGATTTTCCTTTTGAGAAGCAGATCATATCTAATTACTGGGACAGGATCTGGATTAATGTTTGTGCAGCAGATGTAACCGAACTTCTACCTAAGCAGGCACTGCACCTTATTTTCTGTTGTTGCATCCAATTTAAACTGTATGACTTCATCACGGCGCACCAATCATGTTCTCACGCTGGAGCAAACGCAATTTCCATGGCAACGAGTTGGCGCTTGTGCAGTGTGACAGGTTGAGATAAATTCGGTTCTTATGCATTTGCCACTACAATGCCAAACATGATTAAATTGGCCGAATTCACATAGCAAGACATAAAGGGTTACTATGCAGTTTTGGCTTGCGTTTAGCACCCTCTAATGTTTGTTAGTAAAACCAAAACTCCTTGCTGTGCGTTTATATATAAAAAAAAATAATCTAACTTCTCAGCCTTCCCTAGTGTCTAAACAAATTGGTTGTGTTCAGAACCTGAAACATGCAGGAAATTTGCTGGAAATGGACTCTAGCGCCAGGCACGTACGCTCCACTGAACAGGAACCAGTCTGTAAACTCTGAAGTTGCAAGTGCAATATTCTGGCCACAGAGTGACATTTCATCCATGGGTTTCACATATGCCCGCAAATTTTAAAGACACATTCTGATGCCAAAAAAGGGTTTCATTTTGAATGGGGGCAAAAGTTATTTTAACTGTTGTGTGAAAATATGTCCAGGACTACTGTGCATCACCAAATTGACGTTATCAAACCAGACACTGAGAAAAAGAGGAAAAATAGCTATGAATCCTTCATCCAGGACGAAAGAACTACCATAAATCTGTCCATGAGGCAAGTAGCAGCTACTCTAGGGGAGAGGGGATGACTTATGTGCGACCGTGCCGACAGCTGGTTTATAGTCATGCATCATGAGTTTTCTCCGTTTGTAAAAGTCTGTAAAGTATGTGACTGGCATGGTCGAAACACACATTATTATTTAAATTGACGTACATCATATGTGCGATTCAGGGCGTGAAGCCAAGAAAATCAGAAAATAACCGTTTTAGCCCAGTATTTTTTCATTCTTCCAGAGACCCATGAGCAGACCAGAAAACTCCCTATACTAACATGTTTAATGACCCTGACTTAATTGGAGTGCTCCCGATGTGCTAAGCAAACCAGAGCACACTTAACACACCACACACGGCAGGAAGATTATCTTTAAAGACATCACAGTAATCCAGGGCATCCTTAATATTGTTTAAAAAAAATTATATATATAATGAATTTCTTGTGTGTGTGTGTGAACCGGGCCTAAGAGGAATATTGGGTCTTTGGGACAGATATACTTAATAAAATAGTTTTTCCTCAGTTTTCACTTTTAACTGTTAAATTTAGGATTTTTATTTTTTTTTTTCAAATAAATGCTCTTCTTAAGACTTTCCATCAGTTCGACTTCCTGCACCAAAACCAAACCTCCAAATGCTGCCATAGACTTAAACTAAACATCTGAACTTCTAATGTAATTAATCTGACATTTTCTTATGTATGATGGGATTTCTAGAACTACCATGACTTTTAAACCAATTTTATCTACCGGTACTTTATTTCCATTTTGAATTTCAGTGTTAAACCTGGATTCATTCCTAAACGGATTTCCTAACAACACTTAAAAGCACCACGATGTAGCTCCAAGAGTTGCACTTTATTGTTGTGGCACTTAAACTTCTCTAATGTTAAATGTGAACTTTTATACAATTTACTAAACTATTGGTTATGAAGCGGTCTGTAATAAATAAGTTTTTCTGTGTGTGTTTGTGTGTGTGTTTTTAGTGTTCAGTCACATGAGAAATGATTCCACAGCATCTGGTGTTTAAGGTTTTTTGACAGTTTTTGTGTTTTTTTTCTTTATTAAAGGAAAAGCATAATTACTACAAATTACAAATGACACTAATAGCGAATCACGTCAGCCTACAAAGCAGATATTATGAATATTAAATGTTATAATACAAGGTCTCATTCAAGTATTTTACATTTTTCCCATTTTATATATTTTTTTGCTCCTTTTATCCATTTAATCTTTTTTTTTCCTCATGACAAGCCTAGGATCATGTTCTGAACTTTAATGGTTCATACAGTTGTTGCTTAATCATATGGCTTCATGGAAATCTGTCCTATTATTCTCAGTCTCCAGACATCAGAACCTGTCACTCTTTTCCTTCCCACTTTTCCATGTCTTTCTCTGATCTTCCCATCTTCAGTCTGCTCCTGTAAAACTGATGATCTGAGTAGGCAGCGCCCCCTAGAGTTTGTGAGGGCAGCTAGCAGCACTTTGATGCTGTAAACCCCCCAATAAGTTGTTCACAAACAGGTGATGATCACATTAAAGGGAGGTGACAGGGTGGTGGTGGTGGTGGTGGGGGGGATAACGGTCCATCACATCCAATCACTCAAAGGCTTCTGGGGAAAAAAGTGTGTTTTTGTTGTGGCTCATATGCTTCAGCCTGGTAAACACTGCAGCAGCTGGAAGTCTAACAGATTCAAACCTCCCTGAAGATGTGACGTGAAGCTGAAGCATGTGGGGAACAGCTCCAATTAGCTTTTTATTTTACATCCAACAACGCTGGATTTGAAGGGAACAAACGGAAAAACACTGACAGGAAAACGTGACGTACACCGTAGGTACCGACAGGCTGAATCATCACTACAGCTAGACTTGAAGAATCAAAAACAGGCACAGTTTCGTCTAAATATACCAGGTTTCAATGATGTCACTGCAGCTAAAAGAAACAAGCAACAAAACAACTGGTTCATTTCTGTGTGAGCTAAGACTTTTCAAATCTCAAAAAAAAAAAAAGAAAATAAAAGTAAGATTTTCTTTCAAACCTACGAAACATATGAAACAAAACTGATGGTTCAGTAATTAGTTAGCCAGGTTTTTGTTGGAAATCAGACTCCCAGTTTGACAACGGTGCAAAATAGTCGTCAGATTCTACAGGAGTCATCCCGACTTCACCCAGGTGAAGACGTTCCCTTTTGTGTGATCACACGGCTTTGATTTTTGAAATCCAGATGTTTTTTTTGAGCCACATCTCCAGAGTAAACTCTAGGCTCTAGAAACACAGCAAATGGAAGTTAAAAAGCAATAAGAGTTAAAAATAGAACACACATATAGGCAAAGATGTGTGTTCTGTAAGGGCTAAAACAAAGCAGGGGATCGTTCCTCTTCATCAGTCTAATTCACAGTTTCGCCAGTGGAAAGGGAATCTGTTGGATATCATCAGGTCTCGAGCTGGATCAGGGTTTCCATCAGAGGAAAACAAAAACACGAAGCCGCTGCTGCAACTGTATCTGACTGCACTCCTTAGTGTTCACACCTGTAACCGATGTGAGAAACAGGAAGCAACAAGGTCCAATACCAGCGTCTGTTCTCCTCACAATCATCTAGTAGTCCAGAGTGAGGATTTCAGTCCTGCAGCGGTGTTGATGCTCGACTGATGGATGGATGGATAAACAGATGAATGCAACATGTCTGACAGATGTGGGAAGAGAAGCACCCAAAAGGAAGTCGTCGTCAAGTCCCACTTCCTTTTTTTATTTTATTTTGAAGGGTCGTAGAGGAACGGTGATGAACTTCCATCAGCTTTCAGCACACAAAGCTACAAGTCGTCACAATAACAGATCAAAGGACACGTGGAAGACAGTTCACAGACAAAGATGAAAGGAAGCGGAGGACAATTTGGCAGACAAAACGCCACCCAGTGGCCTCAGGTGGAAACCGATGAGACAAATGGTGATTTTGATGCTGTTCAATCGACAGAACGGTGGCGGGCACAAGTTGGAAGCAGTAAAACCATCAAAATAAGGCAACTTTCAATAATCTGTCCAAAGTGAGGGGTTGAAACAAGTCACTTATTCTTTCATAGTTCCCCCTCGGTATCCAGCCATAAAGGAAATCAAATATTTCTCTGTTTGAGCCCCGGGTCTGGAGAGGTCGGTCGCCCAGTTGAAACCACTTTGGTCCGGCTGAACGTCGGGAGCAGCTCAGCTTCCAGATCAGTCCGGTTCAACCACCTCCTGCTAAAGAATTCTGAAACACGACGTCTGAGGAGGAATCCAAATCTTTCAGCCAGCAGGAGATCAGAGAGGGAGGGGGAGGGAGGGGGAGTCGACTTAGCAGGAAATAAAAGTCTCGGACCGCTCAAGATGTGTTTTTTTTATTCCCTCACGATTTATTTGTCTAATTAAGGTTCTAAATTACTCCAAAGGATCTAATAAAACTTGAGAAGGTGGCTTTTGTTTTCATCAGATGCAGAGCTGGAGGCTCCTCCCCCTCCGGTGGCGCAGAAAGAACCGGTGATTTGAAGACGTGGTGCAGTCGATCCAAATGGGCCAGCGCATCGGTGCAGCAGTTATTTCAGAGCTTTGGCGTCCGGTGTGGGATCAGCGCTGTGGGCGGGGGCTTTCTGGGAGGGGGGTTTGGCAACATCCTTAGAGGCAGGGGCGGAGCCTCCGCTCGCCTGGCTGTGAGGTCGGCTGGAGGACTGGGAGGGATGGCGACGGCGACCGTCCCCACTGGACGCGTGTCTTTTCCGGCCTCCTTCCTCCATCGGTGGCTGGAAACAACAATAATTATCAGTATCAGAATTTATTTCACCTTTAATCTGGATTAAAACAAAAACTCTTACATCTATTCTGAAATCCTCCAGTCGTTTAAACTTGCTCAGGTGCTCCTGGAGTTTCGGGTCGATCTCCAAAGTCTTGGCTTTGGAGTATTTGAGGAAAGCCCAGAACTTCTCCAGTCCATAAAGCTGACCTGAGATCAGCAGACACAAACACAGTTTTATATACTTTCACCAACAAACGCTCGTTTAGGAGGCCTAAACTGTCAGAATGATCCGCTTCATGTTTCCTCACCGGCTTCGTAGTCTTTGACGGTTTCCTCCTGGAAGTCCTTAAAGATGTCTGGTCTGAACTTCTTCTCCAGACCGTAGCTGTAGTACCTGAACAAGCACTCTAAACCGTACCTGTCGCCCACAAACACACGAGGAATCAATTTCAATCAGAATTTAGAAACACAAGTTCTCAAAGCCGTCACCTCACCTGTAACCTTCTTTCCCGTCCTCCACCACCAGCTGTCTGAACTCCTCGTACATCTTCCTGTTGAAGTGATCCCGCAAGAAAAACGACCAGAAGCGGAAGAGCGTGTTCATCTCCTGCGATTGGCCGATTCCAAGCCGCTTCCGCTCTGTGATTGGTGGAGAGCAGAGATGGGGTTACTCACAATGAAGGATTACTCCTGTAGAATAAACCGTGAGGAGGCGACGTACCGTTGAGGCAGCGCCGTCGGTACTTGTGGTAAACGTGTTGCGTGAAGCCGTTTTCCTTGAGCAGCTCGTGCGACGGGTGCTGGAACTTGGGGAGGGACTGGGGGGTGCAGCCGATGTTGCTAAGGGCGGGGGTGCCCTCTGACGGGCTGGCGTTAGAGCTGGGAGGGAGGCACAAGGAGCAAGAGTTCAGTTAGATCCGAGACTGGGAGGAAAACATCAGCGGCAGCATCAGCACATGGACGTCCCACCTGACGGAGGCGGTGCGGGAGCGATGTTCTCTCGAGTCCATCACCCAGCCAACATGACACTCCAGCGGCGGGTTTGAGCTGTGCCGGGTCTTCCTCTTTCTGGGCGTCTGAAACAAACCCAACAAGCGTTTATCGTTCCTGTCAGTCTATAAGACCTCTCGCTTTACCAAACCGCTTCCCCTCACCTTGGCGTCAACCGGACGACTTTCCTTCACCACCGGGTAGAAGCGTGGCGTCATGGTTGGGTCTTTTCGGTGAGGGGTGCGAGGCGTGCGGGGCGTCCGGGCACTGCGGTAGTTGGGTGACTCGGGCACTGTGGTGGGGAGCGAGCGGGCTGTAGACGAGGGTTCGGGGGCTCCAAAGAGTTTGTTGGCTAGAGCGTCTGTAGGAACTGAAGACGACGCAGAAGGAAAAGTCAGGAGTTAAATCTCTAAAACCGCCGGCTCATTCTATTACAACCGTCTGAGTTTCACATTTCAACGTGTTTAGAGACGGAAAACAAATGAAACAATCCCGTTTTTATCCACTAGATCATAATAAGACTCAACTCAGCCATCTGACCTCAGAAAAGAAACATTCCAAGTTTTTACTCACCTTCATAAAGGAAAACCATCGACTCTAAATCAGTCTGACTAATCGTTTCTTCTTGCCCAACAGTAGTTGGGTTGTCTTTATTAATATCAACATTTGAAGTTTAATCTTTTCCATGTTGCACCATCAGGTAGATGAAGCTGGATTAAAGCGGCTTTAGGTTTACACAAACACGCGTGTCCTTACTCTGTTGGGGCCGCGGCGGCCCGGGGGGGACCTCCTGGTTGGGGTCAACGGGAGGTTCTGGTGTCAGACAGTCGAACTCCTCACGGCTGATCAGGTGGACCTTCTTGAAGTTCTCCACCTCTTGCTGTAAAAAGAAATTTGAGAAAAGTTATTGTGATTTTCATCAGAGCAAACTGCTGGGATTGTCGGTAACTAGAACAGAAACTAACGTAGAACTGGTTTAAACCAGAAAAGCTTTCGCATGAACACTGTGAGATGATCAGACCTCATCTGCAGCAGTCTGGAGACCGAGACGCAGCAGCAAAGCACAGCAGCCAGAAACACCCTCTTCACCTTCATATCTGACACGAACTGTTCCCACACACACACACACACACACACACACACACACGCACACAGCTTCTACTTCTACTCAGAAACCCACAGACACACACAGCCCTTTATCTAAAGCTCAGGGTAAGGACAGCTCCCAGGTGGTTTCTCTCCCTGATCCTGATCAGATGTGACTCACAGCGACGGGTAAACTCCGAGTCTCTTCCATTTTCTTCCTCCTCGACCCGGCGGCTCCGATCCCCAGGCCGAGACCTTCCATGTGGGGTTTATTTATAAACAAACTGCCTTTGTTCCGCGCAGCGCTGGATGAGTGCCGGTGAACACGTGAAGGTACCACAATGCAACAAAAAGGCAGCGAGGACAACAAAACTAAACAAAAACTACTTTGTGTTTCCATTCCACATCCAGAAACAGCTCCAGCTGCCACTGAATGCATCTCCTCGTCCTCCAGTTTCGTGCAGAAATGTCTCCAAAACGTGAGACAGAAACCGCCAGAGCATGCCCAGCACCTGCTGTTCTGGTGATGTCATCAAAGAGTGCAACCTCACCTTGATGGTGGCGTACTCGGGCTCGAAGTTGTCTTCCCACAGGTCCTGCTCGTAGTAGAAGAGCCCGTCGTTGATGACTTTGGCCAGCTCGCTGGTCAGCTTGGCGCGCGATGTGTGCTGACCGGTGCGGTCGCCCCCCGGATGTTTTCTCAGGTAGGGCGGCGTCTGCGTCACAATCAGGATCTTGTTGATGTCGTTGTCGTCCAGCTCACCGTCCGTCTCCTCGTCCGACCAGTCGGTGAAGGTGTTGCGGCGTCCGTCTATCTGCTCCATCTCCTCATCGAACATGAAGTCCAGCTCCTCGGGTTCGTCCTGCTCTGCTCCGTCCTAATCAGACAACATAACACCACATCATCGTACAATCAGTAGACATGCATCTGTAAACAAAAATAACAAAACGCCTCAAACCGTTGGATCAGAAGAGGGGAAAATGATTTCCTCACTCACCTTATTTCCTGAGACGACAGGGGATGGAGAGGAGCCGGGCCGAGGAACCAGAGACCGAAGAGATTCGTCCTTTTCTTTCTGCTGCAACACAGGGACCTGATGTGAGTCGCACAATAACGGTGGAGGTGAACCAAACACAACAAGATAATCTTCTGCTAAGTTTTCAAAGGTTTTCGGAGCTCACCTTCGGTCTGGCTGGAGAGGGTCTGGGCCTCTTCTTCACCTCGATCCAGGACTCGGAGTCCAGATCAGGGAGACTGGCGGAGAGGCCCTTGGGCATGGTCTTGAGGTTGGAGATATCTGGTTCAGTCTTGGTCAGTTGTTGAACTGGCGTGGAGGCTCTGGGAGACCCTGGAGAAGAGACGAAACCCCAGGTTGGTTTGATGTTTTAGAAACATGAAATCCCAACGAACCTTCCTCACCTCTGCGCTCTTCAGACATCTGTCTGGGAACAAACTCGGGGCAGTTGATGAGCTGGGAGAAGTCGGTGTGCGTGTGGTTGGGCATCATCAGACCAGGAAGAGGCCACTTCTCTGGGTCTTCCTTCCGCCGGATCTTCATGTCGATGATTTCCACCTCTTTGCTGCCCTTTAAAGCCTGGCAGCAGATAATCAATGTTCAGCTTCCAAACGCGTTTCTTTTTACTGTTCTATAAAAACAAACTCCAGCTCCGCTAACCTCGATGATGAGGTTGACGTCTGTAGTGAGCGCCTGAACTCTGTGGAAACTGGCGATGAGTCCGATGGGCAGGAAGCCCTCCTGATCCATCTTCCTCCGCAGGAAAAAGTCCCGCTCCAGATTGTCCAGACTGAAATAATACTCTCTACAGGGGTGAGAAGCGGGGTATTCAGAGGGAATTTGATGCACAATGAAACAAAACGAGGAATTTGTGGATGAATTTAGAATTTATCACATTAGAAACCAGGACAAGATCAGGTTTCAGCTCCAGATAAGACTAGTTTTACTTAAAGAGCAAGTCACCCCCTAGCAGCCACTCCCATTTCCTGTTTGAAAAATGCGCCACAGGGAGTTGTTTCCGGGCAGATCCAGATGGCAGAGCTGCTAACAAATAAACACACACAGGCTCAGTGGCACTGTGCCCTCATATGGTACCAGGAAACATCATAGGGTACCTCTTAGCCAATAGCAATGGCCGATTTAAATTAAAATGTAGTGCGGAGTATTTTACCTGAAGAGGGCGCAACACTGACAGTTTTAGGTAGAATATTTTCATTTTAACTAAGATGCATTAAAGTGCCAAATTATTGACTACCCATGTTTACAGCACGATTAGACACTCATTTATATCGTTGAACAGCAAAAAACTGATCTGGGGTGACTTGCTCTTTAAGGGGATCTGCCACAGCTGGTTTGAATGCTTTAATGTATTTTTTATTTAAATAGAATTTTGGGGCACCATCAAAATAAAATCGTACCCACAGATTATATCGTGTGCATATTTGGTCAAAGTGGAGCAGGAGTTTATCAACTATGATCTCTCTGCATTGACTACCCATCAGAGATGAGACATGAAAGCTCATCACCTCTGAAGTTACAAACTCACATCTGCCTCTTGATGTAGTCCTTCAGCAGGTCCTGGTCCACGGTGTACAGATCGCTGCTGCTCATGTTGTCATAGTAGTAGGTGACGGAGCTGTTGAACTTCTGGCTGTACGGTCCGTCCTTCACGTCGTAGGACTTGTAGCCGAAGTGGTAGTCGTAATGACCTTCAGAGGAAACGGACAGAGCGCCAAGATCAAATCCACTTCTGCAGCTTCAAAATCCTGTTAAACAGCGTCCTTTCTTTAAATTTTATCATGGAAGAACTCATTATTTACAGCAACATTTCAGAAGTTATAGAATCGAAAGAGCCTGATTGCTTAAGAAGTAAAGCTTTTATACTCACTGGCGAAAGATAAATGTTAAAATAGTTTCTTCTGTGCAGCATCAAACTCAACAGCACTTTGTCTAATTTATTCTGTTATTCTGCTCTGCTCACGTGGGCAGCCACGGCGAGACCTGGAGAGGTGTGGTTGGGAGGAATGGCCCCCCTGACGTCTGGCAGTCTCCAGTCAGAAGGAGCCTCAATTCCCACTTCCAACTGAAGTGTGAACTGATGGAATGCAGCTCGGGTGGTCGCGGAAGCAAAAACTCCAAAAAACAAGCATAAGCATGGGAGGAGTTTGGTGAGATTACAGAGAAAGACTTTCATACGGCTTTGAGGAGATTCTGGTCCACTATCCGGCATCTAAAGGGGTGAAGCAGTGTGCTACCAACACTTTTTATAGTAGGGATGGTATGCTGCTGACCTCGACTAGAGACGCTGTGGTGGGCGGAGCACTTGGAAGACCTCCTTAATCCCACTGGCATATCTTCCAGTGGAAGAAGCAGACTCTGGAGACTTTGGGTTGGATTCTCTAATCTCTGATGCTGAGGTCTCTGAGGTGGTGAAAAGGCTCCTCTGTGGCAAGGCCCCAGGGGTGGAGAAGATCTGCCTCGAGTTCCTTAAGGCTCTGGATGTTGCAAGGCTGTGTTGGTTAACGCAGCTCTGTAACATCGCGTGGACAACGGCGGCAGTCCCACTGGACTGGCAGACCAGGGTGGTGGTTCCCTGACTTAAAAAGGGGGACCACAGGATGTGTTCCACCCACAGGGAGATCACACTCCTGAGCCTCCCTGGTAAGGTCTATTCAGGACTTCTGGAGAGGAGGGTCTGTCGGGTTGTCAAACCTCAGGTTCAGGAGGAAAAATGTGGTGTATTATCCCTCATGAAGTTATTTACACCAGAAGACAGTGGAGATGTGCAACTTCAATCTGACCAACAATTCTGGGTGTTTCTATTGACATTTTTTGAGTTTATTGAGTTTGAAGACTGCCACGCGTAAACACGCTTCACACACATGATCCAAAGCTCATTTCATCGTGTTCAGGACACGGTGGGTGTAGAAGGGATGGCGCAAACTCCGCTTGTAGAGACAGACGAAGCAGGAATGTAAAAGAAGAAAGGCAGATGTGAAGCTGAAAGTAAAAGTGAGTCACATAATTGATGTGAAAATTCCAGCGATCGTAATAAAACAGCAATACTAAAAAGGGGAAAAACTTTACTTTTGAAATCCGGATGAATGTGAGATTTAATAAAGCAAAGAGCAAGTTGCCACATGAGGGCTTCCCTAGTAAAAACATTAAAATGTGTAAAGATATATTAAGGATTGTGCCGAACTGAGCAGGAAATCTGAGCATTAACTCTAAAAACCTGCTCAGCCTGAAATCTGGACCAGCAATGGTTGAAGAAACCAAAAAACAAAAATCAAAAATCTAGAATTAAAAACTGTGTTGAGTTGTCTGGACTCCCCCCTTATCTTGTTTAAAGTTAAAAACACACTCATACCGAGCTGGGTAACAGGAAGCAGAGAAGAAAACGTGAATGAACAAGGAGTGATGGGAAGAGAGGGAAAGTGTGAATCCGAGGAAGCTGAAGCCAAAACAAACCAGACTTCAGGGAAAAGCTGCTTGTCCTGTCGGCTCCAAGGCCTTTTCCTCATTCCAACACTCTCTGGATGTTATTACACTGTTTTTCCTGTTTTCCCTGCAGCCTCAGTGGAGCCGGATCAGGGCCACAAACCAGCCAAAACCAGAACAGCAGCAGCAGGAATCACAACATCCAGAGTTTAACTGCAATTTGGTCCAGAACTGAACTAAAATCTGAAAACTGGCCGCACCCCTCAGAAAAATAACGTTTCAAATCCTCTGGACAAAAACAGAATGATGCATCAGAGAGAAATGTTCCACTTTAAAGGAAGAAGGGAAATAAAGCTCGGGTTTCCGTCTCGGCAGAAGAGAAAGTTTTAATTCTACCATGTCCTCCGCCTCGTCCTCGACCTCGTCCCCTTCCTCTCCCGCGTCCACGACCTCTGAACCCTCCACGGAAAGGTGCCCCCTCGCTCTTTACGCTGGACACTTCGTCGTGGTCGTCTCGCCACTCCCGCTCGTACTTCTGGCTGTGCCAGTCTATAAAGGACAGATTTGCATTAATAAAAAAGGAAGTAGAGCATCAGCCATGATGCTGCTCAGCTGTTTATCAAACCACACCCTTCACTTAATCATCACAGCAGACCAAAGACGCTGCCCGACAGCAACTAGCGGTGTTAGGGGATGACCCGGACTGACCTCTGAGGTCGTTCCTGGCGTTGGGGGGCAGGCGGGGGTGTTCGTTCTGTCTGCTGTTGTTCCTGGAGGCCGAGCGCTCTCTGGGGCCCTCAGAATTCACCTCGATCATCAGAGGAACCCACTTCTGCTTGTTTCCTGTTTTAAGACAAACACAAGTGTGACAGAATGAAACATTTTTACAGGTTTGTCTTTTCTGCTGTAATCTAATGAAACATTTATAGAACTAAACTACTTTTATTCTCGTGTTTGTGAATGGTTTCAATCTGAAAACTACCTTCATGGTTTAGTAACTTTCTGCACTGGTTGCAGTTCAACTGAAACGCCATGAAATGATGAGAATACATTAAAACACCATTTTTCTGTTAACTCAACAAAAGGCCTTTTTTAACAGAAGCCTTTACTGTGAAAGTGTGTGATGGAGGAAGTGAGTTTTAACAAAGTCAGACTGATTTTATCATTAAGGCTTTTGTTAGTCTCTGATCTACAGAAAGGTTTTTATTCTTAACAAATAAAACTGAACTAAAGTATAAAATTAGAGTTATTTTAGAGCCAATAAGCTCACATTTCATTTATTAGCAGCAGGAAACAAGACTGATCAGAGTTCTGGGGTTTCATGTTCAGCTCTCGGCGAGTCGGGTGGATTTCAGCTTCTGTTCTGGTTAGGGCTGTAGCGAAGCCTCGACGAAGTCGACGGCTCGATTCTAAAAATTTGTCAACGTCAGATCCGGAAGTCGACGCACCGCGCCCACTTGTTGCATCCCCAGGAGTTTGTAAATAGAGGAGGAATCTGCCCGTTTTTCCTCTAGTTCGCCCTCTTCTCCGCCTTCACTAACATCTCCGCCAAATACCGAAGACCCGGAACAATGTCCGTCTACTACTAGATTATTTTCCTGTTTTGCCCCTTCGTCTCCCGGCAACGGACAACTTCCGGGGTCAGATGCGCTGCTTCGTGTCTATCGCAGATGTAGAAAATCACCGGGAGCGTTTCTCCCTTCATTAAGGAGCTTCTTTCAGACATGAGGAGAGCTGTTTTGGTGGTAGCAGTCCCTCCTCCGTGCTGGTCTGTTTGCTGCTGGGTGTTTTTGGTTTATTTAAACTTGGTAACTTGAACTTAACGTTGGTAAAGCTACTGTTAGCATCTTCGCTAACAGCTTCTTGCGTTGGGATAAGCTGTTACGTTTTGGTTTAGAGTTCATCTTTTTTGTGGTGTAGATCTCCCTTTTATTACATTTAGAGTGTTGTGGGTTTTCGGTTTAGTGTAAAATATCACCTGAGTTTGGTTTAACCCGTAAGACCACTCGCCTCACGCACATAAGTGACCAAAACAAAGCAGCATGGAGACACTCCATCTCCTACCACCTCTCAGGCAACAGCCTGCACTCCCAAGTTCTACACGTCACCAGAACATAACCAACCAACACAATAAAAGCAGTGGTATACAAAATGGAAGGCCTGTAGTGTTTATTCTCTTACAGTAAGAATTTATCAATTTTTTTGAGGAATTTATTTGAGATTTTATGGTTTTTGTTAATTGTGCAATAGAAAAATAATCATTAATTAATTTTCTAAATAGTCATTAGAATAGTCGACTATTCGATAAAATAATCGTCAGAATAATCGTTTTAAAAATAATCGTTTACCCCCAGCCCTAGTTCTGGTTACTGTCAGTAGAACGATGTGGTTTATATCCAGCTTTTATTATGAAAATCTGATCATCTCAGTGCAGTTCTCCCACTGACCAGCAGGGAGCACAGGTGAGCTGCTGTCCAACATAATCAGAGCAGACGGAAGAAAACTATTGGGCAATAACTTTAAAAAGGTATAAAGCAGTCCAACCGTCACCTTTTCTCTTAGAGCCATTTTTCTGGGAGTCATCGTCACCGTTCTTCTCCTCTCCAGAGTCGTCAGACTTGGCTTTCAGGTTCTCCTTACTCTCCTCGTTGCTCTCTCTCTTCTCCTTCAACTCCTTCTTGGCTGTTATTCTTCTAGGACCCTAGAGAACAGAGAAGAAAAATAATTTAAAATGATTTTCAGCGTTTTTTGTTTTGTTTTTAACTCAACGTATTTGTCAAACCCGTCTTGTCATGAGGAAACAACCTTGGCTGAAATCACCCACAGGTATAAATTTACATAAAAATACTGCCTCAGGGGGACAATGATAGAAAACGACCTAAAAGAAAACCCTTAGCAGGTTTTTTACCAAGAGAATGTGCAAAAGTCTTGCAGCAGTTAGTCACGTTTGAAACTCGTCTGTAAGAAAGTGAGTAGTCATCACACCTGCATCAGTGTTCGTAGAGTAAAACAAGATCCAACTTCAACACATCTTTGTGGAAGGGCAAACAAGGTGAGAAGAATTGCACAAAACCAGCATTCAGTGTTCCAGACTAGAAAGCAATGGTGGGATGATTAATCAGCCACTCTTAGTTGCTTCAATAATAAGTTCTGAATCAGAAGCAGCAGCTGATGCAGCCGGACATCGTAGAAAACAAGGGTCTAGACCGTCATTCACACCAAGGTGAAGAACTAAGGAACAAAAAACTATTTGTTCAAAAACTCCAACCAAAATGAAGATTGGCTAATCGCACATTTGTGGACGTAAAGAGCCAGATGTAGCTCTGAAGTAGCACGCGGGATCCCTGTTACACTTACTCTTACAAGCCATTAGCTGCCCTGATCTCTAAGGATCAGCTTGAGCAAGGGCTGGGCAAGATGGAAGAAATTACGATCACGATATTCATTTTCATATCGGCCAATACACACACACACACACACACACACACATATATATATATATATACACACACACACATATATATATATATATATATATATATACATTATATATATATATATATATATATATATATATATATATATATATATACACACACACACTCAACAAAAATATAAACACAACACCTTTGTTTCTGCTCCGATTTTTCATGAGATGGACTTAAAGATCTAAAATTCATTCCAGATACACAATATTACCATTTCTCTCAAACATTGTTCACAAATCAGTCTAAATGTGTGATAGTGAGCACTTCAGCGTTGCGTAGATAATCCATCCCACTTCACAGGTGTGCAACATCAAGATACTGATCTGACATCATGAGTAGCGCACAGGTGTACCTTATACTGCCCACAATAAAAGGCCACCCTGGAAGGTGCAGTTTTGTCTCACAGCAAAATGCCACAAGCATTGAAGGAGTGTGTTGCTCGCTGATCTGCCGGTACCGGCTCTCCCTCACGCTGATCTGCGGCTCTCCCTCGCGCTGATCTGCGGCACTCCCTCGCGCTGATCTGCCGGCTCTCCCTCGCGCTGATCTGCGGCTCTCCCTTGCGCTGATCTGCGGCTCTCCCTCGCGCTGATCTGCGGCTCTCCCTCGCGCTGATCTGCGGCTCTCCCTCGCGCTGATCTGCTGGCTCTCCCTCGCGCTGATCTGACTTGCTCTGGTCTGCGCGCAACGGCGGGCGGGAGGGAGGGGGGCGCTTTTGGAAGAGTTGTGCGACACAACGAATCGATGACGCAATTCGTTGCCAACGCTTTTAGTAATCGATTTTCATCGAATTTATCGATTCGTTGTTGCAGCCCTAATGGGCAGGCATCTGTTATGGACGAAAAACACAGGTGCATTTTATTGATGGCATTTTGAATCCACAGAGATACCGTGATGAGATCCTGAGGCCTATTGTTGTGCCGTACATCCATGAACATCACCTCATGTTTCAGCAAGATAATGCACGGCCCCATGTTGCAAGGATCTGTACACAATTCTTGGAAGCTGAATATGTCCCAGTTCTTGCATGGCCAGCATACTCACTGGACATGTCACCCGTTGAGCATGTTTGGGATGTGCTTGACCGGCGTATACGACAGCATGTACCAGTTCCCACTAATATCCAACAACTTCACACAGCCATTGAAGAGGAGTGGACCAACATTCCACAGGCCACAATTGACAATCTGACAAACGCTATGCAAAGAAGATGTGTTACACTGCATGAGGCAAGTGGTGGTCACACCAGATACTGACCGGTTCTGAGTCCCCAGACCTCCAATAAAGCAAAAACAACTGCACATTCCAGGGTGGCCTTTTATTGTGGGCAGTATGAGGTAACACCTGTGCACTACTCATGATCTCAGATCAGCATCTTGATGTGGCACACCTGTGAGGTGGGATGGATTATCTCAGCAAAGCACAGGTGCTCACTATCACACATTTAGACTGATTTGTGAGCAATCTGAGAAAAATGATAATATTGTGTATCTGGAATGAATTTTAGATAATTTAAGTCCATCTCATGAAAAATCGGAGCAGAAACAAAGGTGTTGCATTTAAATTTTTGTTGAGTGTACATATATACATATATCTATACATATATATATTCATATATCTATACATATATATATATATATACATATACATACTAGGGGTTGTATGAACTAGTTGACTAGTAGACTTCACTGCTCTGTAGTGACTTGTTATGCCTGCCATTGACTAGTCGCTGTCACGTGATAATGACCGGCAAGATGCAGTCCTCAGAAAAGACAGCAGCCTGCTGTCAGCAGGTGACAAGCTCCTGCACTTCTGGAGGCAACGCGCTGTGCCAGAGCGTCGGTACTGACACTGGCGGTAAAACGGACATTTAACCAAACTGTGACCTTTTCCCTCTTGCAATTTAACCTTCCCCTCACCCCCATCCTAACCAAAACCAGCTTGCACATGCAAAGCTCTGATCGTTGACGTGCTCCAGACATCTGCGTCCTGAGCATGGCCACAGTAACATCAAACCAGGTGTCACCACCTCAAAAACAAATTAAACACACGATCGTTCATGTCGGCTCATTTCCTTTTATGTTTTCTGTCTTTTATTTGTGCCTGATGCGTTTCGCTGCTGCGGAGCAAGGCGCATCACCTGTTTTGTCCTCCAGTGACTCACCTCACTGATGCGGCCGGAGAACAGCGAGCACTCCACTGTTTTTGTGGTCGGTAGATCTTTTAGAACTGCAGTTCAAAGGTAACTCATAAGGTGAATTTATCTTTGCTTTAAAAACTTGAAAGTCTCACCCAGAAGTCCAGATGGTTTATATGAGAGGTCATGTTACCTGCAGGTGGCACCAAACAGACGTGTTTGCCAAAAGAAAAAAAAACTCACCAGTGGGATGAGTAATTTCAGAACATTCAAAGATTTGTTAAAACATGAACATTTTGATAATAAAAATTATTTTTTTAATAAACAGCCGTTTCTCCCCTGGCACCAGAGAATATCCCAACATAACCAAATAATCTCCCTGACTTTGACTAGGATATTTGCTTGAAACGCCCATCCCTACAGACTCTTGACTGCTATGGACAGCCACTATACTGTCAGTGAAACATGCTTGGAGCTTAAATGGGTTTGACCCCGTGAATCGATTTGTTTGTATTTTTAGTTTAACACTGAATCTAGAACCATTAATCATGAATCTGATGAGTAAATCTCCTTAAAGCATCTAATTAAATCATTTTGCTGTTCACCTTTAGCCAACACAAAGAAAACAGGTACGTTCATGAGTTAGCTCTGCTGCTTTATCTTCACTAGCACACCTGATAAATTGATGCTTATTCAAATCAAGCAGCATTTTACGCCTCTCCTTCACTATCAGCAAGCTGCTTATCTACAGACTCTGCTGGACCTGAGAGGTTTGCATACAAGTCACGCAGAGCTTGTCTAGAGTTAGTGAGGGTCAACCGTTTTCCAGGATCTGACCTTCTCTCAGTCTGGGAACACGATGCATACTGTGAAATGTGCAACATTTGGAAGATTGTATGAAAACAAAAGCATCACCCAGAGCTGAAACCACTGCAGACATGCACATGTAGCTTCAGGCAGAATGTTCTCTGAACCTTTAGGTCGGTGAAACACCAGGCAGCAACAGCAGACACAAAGATGACCAAAGTTTTAGCATCAAAGTGAATAAACCCCTTTTTTGTTTGGTTAATAATGACATGCTTGGTCTTCCGATTGAACAGAAGACTCACCCAGGAGAACGGTGTCAGTCATCAAGCAATGACCTTTTCTATTTTTACCCTTTTTTTTAACTAGCTGCTAATTTTATACTGATCACTGCAAACAAAATAATTATCATTGCTTTATTTATGGCTCAGTATTTTGTTAACTGTCCCACAGGGACACCTGTGGGAGGCGTTCACTGGTTTTAGAGGACATGGACACAGTTCTTCCGTTTTTTGCCATTTTGCAGTCAACTTGACTTGAAACCTTCTGCTGGGATTCTCATCACAGCAGAAAGGAAGTAATAATAAAAACGATAATAACCAACAGCCAAAACATTTAACCTCTATGACAAAGTAGAAGTTTTAATAACGAGTTCTGTGTTAGACTTCATAACCACACCACCAGACGATGAATGGGAACTTCACAGCTCCTCAGACCAAAGGCTGACAGGGATTAGAGACTAAATGTTAGCAGGTGGGCAGGCTGCTGCAGGTGCAACTTACACTGGTCCTCCACGAGTCCCTGACCTGCCTGTGAGTCGACGGGCAGGACACGGGCCGTGTCACTGCCTCCATCTGAACAGAGGGAGGGAAGAGCAGTTTAGAGACGACAATGTAGTGGATTATGATGAATACACACACACACGTATGACAGGTGATGTTGCTCAGGAGCTTCCTCCTGTAATAATCTAGTCATTTGTGTCAAAGCCGCTCTGCTCCAGCAGCCTGAAGGCCCGGTTCTTCTTCCTGTAGTAACACGATGACAACACCACCTAGTGGAGGACGGAGGTCCTGTGGGTTTAACAAAAGCATTCAGTGGCGTGTTGTCATCACAGCGAAGGACGGCCACACTTTGTTTGGGTTAGTTACAGACAATTCTGCACAAACACAAACTAAAGGAGATTCATGTGATCACCGACACATGACAAGAATGAATTAATAAAGTGGTGTAAACCGGTAATCCCATTCCTCTGCAGTCCACTAATGGCACAATAACAACAATGATATTCAACATAAAGAATTAAAATTAAGTTAAGTCATCCTGAACAGATGAAAGTTGGAAGTCATGTTTCTGTGACAAAAAATACCCAAAATAACGTAACCTCCGTTTACTGAAGACGTTTCAACCTACAGGTGGACACGAGTCAAGATCTTAAAATGAATGAATTAATAAATAAATACACAACCCAGAGGTCTGACCTGCTGCAGCAAAACACAAACACCACAAAACAAACAAGTTGTCATTATTCATATGGATCCGCAGGCGGCATCACTGAAACATCATTAATATTGTTGGTGTCTGGAACTGGAATTTTAATGAGCAAGCACGTCCGTCTCTCTGCCCATTCGTCTCTCTGTTGCAGAATCACTAGAGGCACCAGGAGCTTTTGTAAGTGATAAAAGACATTTATATTATATTACATAATATAATATAAACATATTTTACAGCATCCTCACATGCAGTCATTTCTGAGAATATTTCGCTTAAAATAGAACACACACACTGTGTCTATTCTAGAAAATAACTGTTACCATTTTCCTGAGTTCGTGTTGTAAAAGTAAAGTGTTGCATTAGTTGTGAAGGAATTGTGAAATCATAACCTCAGAATAAACAGTTAAGATGAGGTAGACCTGCATTCCTGTCTTTAACATTAACTACTTTCTTTGTACAGAAAAATCAGAAAATAGGAGTAAAAATGCACTAATTACACTAGTTTTTAAGCTGTAACTGCAGCAAATATTCAACTATAAAATTAATTATTTATCGTCAATGAGCTGATTAGATCAGAGCGATATGGAGATGAGATCTGTAGTTGTTTAAATAAATCTTATGGATGCAAAGTTTGAATTTTGCACATTTGTTTTTTAAATACCTTGTCATTTGTAATTCATGACACTGGAAACATGTGCATCATTTTCTATCTGGTCCTAATTATAGGAAAAGTCAAACATTTTGTGCCGGTAGAGGTGTCCAGAATAGTTTAAGGAAATGTATGAAAACCAGGTGGACCAGCTTGAAAATCACAATAAATATGAATAAACTGATGCAGACTTCCGCAGAAAGTCTCAGGATGAGCAGCAGAGATTATTAATCTGTTACTGGATCAGATTTCAGAGTCCAGCTCTCAGCAGCAGTGGAGCTGATTTAGGACTTTACATGTTATGTGATGGGTGGTGCGTCTCCACCACCTCCAGGAATAGCAGCAGCATGGATCCAGCTGGGGTTTCTTTATGGAGGGGGTCCCTAAAAGGACATCCTCGCCCAGCCTTTGGACGCTACCTCCTAACTCTGAGCCCTGCTACAGCTGATTTCTGCCACCGAACCTGCAGGTTATTCCTGGCCCTGATGACACCAACCACATCTTCCTGCTCAGGGACTCACTCCCAGTCAGACCAGACTTCCTTAAATAAGAGGACGCTGCCCACCTGGTGACACCTTCATGTCGAGGGAGTTAAAGCACCCTGAAAAGTTCATCTGGAAGATGGCACAATTCAAAGGTTTCCTGAATCGGACCAACAGCTGCATGATCACTAAGACTGGTTAATGTGGGTTTAATGGTGTGAACACCTGAGCTCAGTGGGTCTCTGTTGCAGAATGGCACATTAGTAACAGAACTGAGAGGGAGCTTCTAACTGTGAGAAGCTGCTTATTAAATAAATTAATAAATAATAAAATGCACTCCTGATAAATCTGACTCTTATTTTAAAACGCTTTGCTTCATTAACTATAAAAAGTTTAAAATTAAACTGACTCCTAAATCAACAAAATCTAATATAAATCTTAGGTTACAGTTTAAATTTGCCAGAAGCAACAAATCTTACGAAAATGACAAAACTTGGAAGGAGAAACGTGTTTTTAAAGGGAACAGTCAGACAGATGAATAGTGAATAAACACTAATAATGTATGGTGCTCTGATCATTAAATCTCAGTAAATGTTTATTGTATGCAAGAACTTTTATTAGAGCATTTGTGGAAAACTTTCCTAAACATCGGACTGATTTTTTGGGCAAATTCCATCAGTTTAAAGGCGTAAAACTGATTTTTTTTAAGGTGAAAACTCTGTTTTGCGGTGATTTCTACACCTGACCAGTGAGTCCGTCTCTGCTGTCTTCCTCCTCCTCGGAGACCAGGCTATTTTGAGTCTTGCTGCAGAAGGACTCCTCCGTCTCAGCTCTATTAAACCAGGAAGTAGATGACAAAACTCACCAGAACTCTAGTCATTATAACCCAAACTGCATGTTACATGTTCTGTAAGCACTTCTATCACAGGAGGAAGACTAAATCCTGAATTAAACCAGTGTAACCCACCTTAATCTAAAAACTTGCATCTAATTTATTACCATCATATATAAATGTAGTTTATAAAAGGGTAAGAAATCCTTCATTTGGAGGCGGGTTGTTGGGTTAAATAGTTCTAGAGGTAAAGTCTAATCTTGGTGATTAAAAGCTGCAATAATCTTGATTTATGTGGTATTTAAGTTTAAAGAATTTGATCTTGTTAAATCTGAAACAACTTTTTCTGAATTCTTCTTTTCAAACTAAAACAGGGGGAGATTACGGACATCAGAGCGGCCACTCCATCCCAGCCATCCTCGTTTCACCGCTCACGTCTTAATTACACAACAATTAAGTCAAAAGAAATAAAAAAAACAAAGTAGACGTGCAGTTGTGGGGACAGGCCTGCAGAGTAAAACTGGTGTATGATTACAGCAACAAACACTAAAATACCTCCTGGAGGAAACTAGACTCAATGGAGTTAGCTGCAGCAGGACAAATGGACCCAACATTACTCAAACGTTTATCAGCGTGTTTTGTTTCAATATGACCAAATCTGTTGTAGAATGCAACCAGATGCTTGTTAAATACACAGCAATGTTTATAGAGGTCACGCTGCTTCAGCTTTAGCCCACGCCTCCACGCCAACCATGACGCCTACCTGCATGTCTTTAGTCGCTATCTCTCCTGGGGTCGGCCAACTGTTGGTGTCACCAAAATCTCCCACCTGAACAGAAATGGGATTAAAAAACATATGTAAAGAAAATAAAAGAGGTGAAGGATTTATTCCAATGTGTTAAAAGGAAGCTTTAACCCTTTTGAACAATTACTTTCTCTTTCTAATGGGAAAGAAAAAAAAAACATTATTTGAGGCTGCTTGAGTACTGACTGGGTCATTTCCATTAAAAAATTTTAAAATAAAAATTATTCACTAATTTGTAATAAATTGGAAGAGTCACTTCCTGAAATTTGAAGACGTTGATCCTGATCGTGACATTTAGTCATAAATTTACTAAATCAGAAAGATGCTTTTGGGATTTGGAAGCTGGAGTCATGGGTTGAGTTCTGTTAAGGAAAACTGTTGGTCTAACGGTTGTTGGTTGAAAACAATTATCAATCCAAATCTGCCCCTCAGCAAAAGTACCACAGATGTACCAAACACTCCCTAATTACTTCACTATGACTCTGGATTAAAGAAACAAACACTAACCCGGGCTTTCCACCGGATGAAAAATGTGCCACAACCTCTGTGGAGTGTTCGAGAGTCAAATGTGTTTCACACAGCTGGTCCAGCGAGGTCACGAAATTGCCCAATAAATTCAAGACCACGCGTGATTTTGTCAGTTCTCGCAATAATGAGCAGTGAAGACAGCTGCATGAATCCAAAAGGTGTGTAGATGTGTGTGTAGCCAAATGTTTTACACCGCTCCCATGTTTGACTTCCTGTCTGGCCCGATCTGAACCGCTGAGTTTGACGTGTTCTGGAAGCATAAACCTGGTGTGTAAAGCCTAGTTTATGCTTCTGCGTCGGTGCGGAGACACGCAACGCCAATATGTGTCCTTGCACGGGTTCTCCAGCAGGCTCGCAAGGACGGAGGGAGTCGTGCCCATTTTTCTAATCATCTGTCCAACGAGACAGAAAACGCAAGCTTGTGATTGGTCAGGACGCCACTTTCGCCAACAGCACCGCCAATGTGCCCTCAAAAGCATAAAGAGAGCTAAAGATATCTAGCGACAGATAGGGCCGTGCAATCTGACGATATAAGACCATTAAGGATTATATAGTGATGACGATCCACCAAAGCTGGGAAATCGTGTGTCATTATTTGTGGATTCATCTACCAGCACATTTTTTCTCAGCCGAGTCGTGCTATTTGCTAGTGTGCTTCTGTCAACACGACAGGCACACCAGCGCAAGTTTAAGGCAGTGTGTTGTTATGTTTAGCTGGGGTGCTCGGTAGAGCTGAGGAAAATAATCTAACAATGGAATGGATGCATTAAGATGCGAACATTAACGATTATGAATCTTTGAAGAAGCAAAATGTTGGGGTTATTAGGAGCGAACAATTAGTAAGCTTCAACTTACTTTTGGATTCTTCAATAAATTCTGTAAATATGGGAATATTTACTGATTTATTAATTAATTAAGATATTCTTAGATATACGGGGCACCATTCCCCTTTTTCCGGGGAAAAATTGAATCCAAAACTCTTATCAGTCTTTCTTGAAGTTCGTAGAATCCTTGGAGCAGAGACTTCTCTTCGACACAACAAAGCTACTGGAGACGAAAATCTGAATTTTATAACGTTTAATTAACAATTTGTCAAATGAATAAACAGTGGCATAAATGAATAATAACCATGTGATATAATAAAAGGATGTATATTCAAAATAATGTTCAAGGTGTTTTGTGTGTATGTAGGATGTAGGAATGGGGTCCTTTGTTCTCACAAAGGAGTAGTGTGTGTGCGTGTGTATGGATTCAAAATGGAGTCTTGAATACAAGATGGCTGACTCCTTTGTCTGGCTAAAGTGTGGGTGGCAACTTGCACTTTAACTTCCAAAGCACTTAGAATCAGTAGTAACTTAACCTTAAATCACTCAAAACATTTCAAAGGATCATGCAACAACACAAAAGATTAATCACGAGTTAATATCCTTAGTTTATCAGCCTGGCCATGGCCGAACATTTAAAGATACCAAACAATGATTAATAAGCAGTTTATTCTTTCAAAATGACCCGAAGGACGAATTTGGAACGAAAGAGGAAAACACGAAGCTATTTTTTTTAAGCAATAGCGCGGTTTTATTGCTTATTCTGGACTATAGAGGAAACGGGAGAAGAAAAGAATGAGAGAAAAATGAGTTTTCTGATCACCAAAAGAGCGAGGCGTCCCTCCCCCTTTTGATTTGACGGTTCTCCGTGTTTCTCCGCAGTTTTCAGCGTCATCCGCCGGTTTGATGCTTTCTCCGTTGTTTGGCTCCACGAGTGTTCCTCCACGGCTGGACACAAAGAAAACGAAGTTCCTTTTGGGCTGAGTTTGACAACTTACAGCGTTTCTGAGAGCTGGATGGAGTTGTTGTTTCCCTTCGCTGGTTCTGTGTCCTCAAACATCAGCTGGAGGGGAGCAGAAACGAGCAGATCAGCGGTCCCGTGGGCTCAACTTGGCTCTTAGAGCTTCCGCGTGCTCAAAGAAGTCGGAGCGTTCGACAAGCGTGTCCTCACCGCCAGGTATCCTGGGCAAAAGAACGAGGTTTCTTTGTCTCTGCTGAAGATTTATGGTCTTAGTTCGCGGGGAAAGCTCCACGGCTTCCCGCACATGCGCAGAACGTGTTTCTGGTACTAGGCGGTGACATCACCCAATGCTTCCGTGTGCAAAGCATCATGGGAAATGAAGTTTCTTGGCACTGATGTGATTATTTGCTTTTCAGAGCAATTTAAGCACAGTCATTTTGGAGAAAATCACTGCATAGTAATTTCCTCATGAGGTCAGACCCTCAACATTCCCCCTTTTGGTTTCGGGGATCGCGCCCAAAGCTCGATCGTCGGAAGCACAGATGGGTTTGTTCCTCATGAACGTAGGTCGACTTGATTGTCGGAAGCACAGGTGGGTTTGTCCCTTAGGACGTTGGTCTCCTTGGACGCCTTTGTCTTGGATCCTGGCGCCTTTGGTCTTTGTCTTTGTCAGGCACAAAGAGGATAGGAAACGGGATAGTCCCCAACGCGCATAACGAGAAGAAGCCACTCACGCAGGTGGTACGCAATGATGATGTCGTCCATGCGAGAGGTAGTAGTGTAGAAGGAGGAAGGTCGGTGGGCGGTTAACTCCACGAGGGGACACAAAGGCATCTCACCGCCGGCCATACAGTTCAGTTTATGGATCACGCGGTGATGTACGAGGTCCATAGTTCGCAAACGCGCATTGACCTATGTGGTCCCAAGATTCCCCCCTTTTTTGGTCCAAAGGGTGGATCAGGACAGTCTTTGGGCTAAAACAAGGACCATAAAACTAAGAGGTACTACAATGTGCTGGTGCGTCAGACAGAGTCATTGACAGACTGAGCTGGGCCGGCACATAACCACTAGTCAATATGTGACCAAGTAAGAAACAAAAAATACAGAAAACCCAAAAAAAAACATGTAACATATAACATCCAAGAAAATTCATAGCAACCTTGAGGTCTCATAAAATACATTCTTAGGTCATACATTCAGTGTGTAGCTTATAAAGAATGTGACATAATGCAACACTCAGATAAAAATGTGAGGTAGACTAAAGTGAGAACTACTCTTAGGGTTACAAAATAACAAAGAAAATGTTGCTCACCCCCTTTAGACAGGTGTGGTACATTCACGCTTGGAGTCTCCCCGAACGCGGTTACGAGGCACACCGTAGGTGAGCAAGTGCATCTTATCTTGGAGTTTCTTAACACGCCTGTAGGCGGACTAAGCCATCACGGCCGTGATGAGCCATCCCATCCCCAGGGCGACCAATGTGCAGATTCAAGTCGTATAATCTGTGTCAATGTAGCGTCTTGGGCGTCAAAGTAAGTTCACGCGGGTTTTGTGTGAACTTAACAAATTTGGTTCCTTCAATCAGTAATTGTTGGTCAATTTCTAAATCGAAGGCAAAGTTATAACCCTGGAAAGCGTCCATGATCTCAATCTCTGAGTCATGCTGTTCGAGGTTGAGGTGATGGAGTGTCAGGTTTCTAGTTCAAAGTGGAAATGCCTACCGTCCTTTCAAATACCAATGTTCAGCATCGACCTAAACCTATAGATGTGAGGTGTCACAATTATAGGAACGTTTAACAGGAAACCGAGTTCTAATTTTTTTTTCAACGTGAATGGGAATTGCACTACCTAGGCTGTACGCTAGGTGGATTTGTGAAAGGTGCACCGTAGAGGGGTAGCAGCTGTCAAGCTAACTTTGAGCAGGTCCAGTGGTACCAAGTACGGGGAAATACGACTTTCAACCAAGCTGTCCAGCGTGGAACTTACTTCCCTGAGCAGGTCCTGCATCAAATCTCTCACCACTCATGTGTACACAATATCCTGATGTATGGTTTCAGACAAAGTCTTGATTGCACGTAGAGATTCATTAATCAGAGCAGAATGTAGGTTGACAGTTACAAGAGTACCCTGTAAGGTTTTAGTAAGTACTTCCTGTTAGCGGTCTGGGAAGGAGTTTATCTTGGTTAGTGAAAGTGACGGCGGGGGGGGGGGGGGGGCCTGGGTCTTTGTCGGTTAGTACATGTTAGTGGGTTAAACGTGCACTTTCCCCCCCTTTCCATTTCCATGCATAGAACTATGTAGAGACTACGTCTACCTCCTGCGGGGAGTCTGGTCTCTGTACCCGCGGGGACGGTTTGACGTAGGGTTTGATTTGGTTTGCATGCACCCATTTGTAGACAGGCTCCTGTCTCGCTTTGGTGATGCGTAACCTGTATGCAACTGGAGAGAGTTTTGCCACGATCTCAAATGGTCCTGACCAGCAGGGCAGGAACTTCTTAGCTTTGCGTGCCGGTTGGGCGAACCGAAAGTAGAATACTTTGTCACCCACCTCGTATTCGCGGCTGGTTGTCTTTTGGTCATAGTAGGCTTTAGCGCCTTCTACGTTGGTCTCCAGTTTCTTCTGAGCGTGCGCGAACGTAGCTCTGAGGTGTGTTTTCAAGTCTGCCACATACTGATGAGCGGTATAGGCAGTGGCAACACTGACATCCTCT